ATGAGACGGGTGTCTGCAAAATTTGTTCCTCGCTTGCTCGGAGATGACCAAAGAGAAAACCGCGTGAATGTTTGCCGCGACTTGAAGTCTCGGCTGCAGTTTTCCCTAACAGAAAGCAAAATTTCACGCACACTCTTTGTTTCTGCTGGTCGGCCATCTCACTAATCGCCAAAGGGTTGAAACAGGAACGCACACAACAGAGCACCACAGACAAACCACTTAACTCAGACTGACGCCAGCTCACTAACAGTCGCGGGAGACCCCCAGCTAACACCACCTAGCAGCACAACTCGTAACTACAAAGCATGCGTGCGCAACAGGTCGGTTCCGGTTATTTTTGGGTCCCCCCTCGTACAAGGCTTGTTAGTCCAGGCTCAGTACAGCAGATTATGCCCTATCTTTAGTAGCTTTGGCCTATCAGTTCTAGTGGTCATTTTGCTTCATGAGGTTTTAGACAATTTTTGTAATGGCCACTGTTTTCTCGTCCTCTGACAGCACCACTGATTTCTGTCATAAATTGCTGTACTACAGTTAGTAATGCTCAACATATTTTCTAGAGGCAAACTGTTTACATTTGGTGCCTGAACTGACTGACCTGTTGCTTGCTGTTTGTGTTGGTGTAACGGTGCAGGGATCCTTGGTTCCATCGTGGATGGATCTGCCACTGCCACCTGTCTGTGGCCGCTGCTGTTGCCCTGTACTGCCTTGGAGCACTGCTGTGAAAGACACACCTGGGGTGGCGAAGTTTGAGAACACCCTTCACATTGCAGTCTTGAGTGTTCTCTGACTTCCTTTTCTGCATTTTCTCCTTTGCGTATCTGCAGCCTCGATAATTGGCAGGATGGGCTTTCTCTCCTTTCACCAACTGGCAGTTGCAGCATCCTGGTGTGGAAGATGTATTTCCTTTTTCAGGACTCTCCTTGTGTAGGTGGCTGCCCCCACACCACAAACAAATGGGATGTTGCTTGCAGTTTGCTCAAACATGAAAATTGTGTAGTGGCAAAATTCAGAGGCCTGCTCCAAGCATTTCCGGGACTCAGGTGAATAGTCGTGGAGGATTTTGGAGGGAGGATTTTCCGGTTGGGTAGACTGAAATAAGTTTCGCACTCTGCCCGTATTAGAAGGCTGGCGATTTTTCGGTTTAGTATTTAACTTTTCAAGCTGAAGTTTATTTCTCATCTCCTTTCTCATGAGGTTATGGAAAATAGGGGCAACCTCTGTACTTTGAGCTGTGATCTCAGGTTTTTCACAGAGTGCATGAAGTTCGGTTCAAAACATTTTTCATGTTGCCATGAGCAGTGTTCCTCTGCACAGTTTGCAAAAGGTGGAGGGGCTTGACAGTTTGCTGCCACATGAAAGAATTGCTCACATTGTGCACATGGAGGCGGCATGGTGCTTCCACATTGATTCTGATATAACAGGTGGGACAGCTGCAAAATCTGGAACGTTGTCTAGCTCGATTATGTGCATGGGCAGAGTTGTTCTCTCTCCACGCAGTCATTGGGATGACATTTTGAACTGCCAGCCCAAAGACAAGTAGTTCTTCCTGAATGGCTTTAGGAGGGATGCCTTTGATAACCACCCTGTAGGGCTTGGAATCGTTGTGCTTAATGAGATTAAATGGAACTTTTATTTTCTTTTAAGAAGCTTTGCAAGTTGAGATAATCTTGATACATTGAAGTCTGACATGCTATGCCAGCTTTTATTCTATAGGCTGGAATTTGAAATGAAAATCTTTGTTTAGTTAGATCATGTCACCTTGGAAGTGGTGGTGGATGATGACAGGCAGAATTTTCTGTCTGGAAGCGGGTAGGAATTGGCTCTTGTTCTCACAGCTACCAGAAACACGACTGTCAGGAGTGGGAGAGGATGTATTAATGGCGGTTTCTGATATGGTTGGATTTACTTTTGTTTTACTTTGTCTCATTTTGGAGGTAATGACAGTGAAGTCATTATCCGCTATCTCATCTGGGTTAGGCGGTTCAGAAGAGACTCTTGCAGATAATGCAAGTTTCTGTGCACCTTGCCTCACAGATTTAGTTCCACCTTGGGAGCATTGTACATCTGCAGCCACTGTAAGGCTGCGATTGCCAGAAGGGCCTATCACGGGCCAGGCTGAGTTGGCTCTGCATGGTTCTGACTGTGGTTTTCTTTAATTGGCGGGGTTTTATTATCTGCCCATATAGATGCCATTTCTGAATCTGAATATTCAGATGAAGGGCTATCGGACTCCGCGCTTATAGGGGACTGGAGCGCGTTTATGTTTTATGGTTAATGTGATTGATTTTTCTATTTATTTTTTTCTGATTTATTTCTGTATAGTTTCCTGGGTTTCTTTAGGTTTGTATGTATTTAGGGCTGAGAGGCCTCCAATGCCTATAACCCTCTTAATGTCTTGGGGTCCAATCTAATGGCCTTGGACATCACCATGCTGGCAGCTACGGTTTACCCACCAACACTGAACGTACCAGGGAAGTGATAATACTGACACTAATATTTGGAATGGGGTATGCGCTAAACGGAACATGAACCAGGGACAGTTGCATGATCCGGTGAGGGCATTCCGAAGCTCCGACAAGCAGGTGGGCCAAAGCCCACCTGAACTTACTCCTACAAGCTAGCGCTGATTTACTGATGTTGCAACACTGATTAAGGGTGGAGGGTAAGAATTTCAAAGGATCTGGACACACCAATTTGTACTAGCTGACTAGGACAACTGCAACAACCACCTCAGTGTACGTTGTCACTGTTAGATTTCAACTGAGGCAGTACCGCCGGGAACACACGGCGTAAGCTGGAATCCTCTTCTCTGCTTCTCTTTGTCTTCAGCATATGGGGCTGGTTATTGAAAACCATACGCTGTATGCAGGGCCAAGAGAGCAGGCCTGACCTGGGTTTATGACCTTCACTACCTGAAGTCTCTCTGAGACGCCTTTCAGTTGCTTTTCTTGGCATGGACCGTGCTGAAAGCACTGTGTATTATAATCCAATCACATCCATGGACATGTTTGTGATGGTGTTACTCAGTAAAGGCTGGGTATACTTTGCTTATTAAGAATCTGTTACTTGGCAGCAGATGTTTTGTTATAGAAGATGTAAATGTTACAGGGACATATATTATTTGTCATGTGTTTTGTACAACAAGCCAGTACTGAATATATGAATTTGGACTTGAGTGTGTGAAGTATTGGTTTTATAGGGCCATTTTAAACCAAATATAATTTCACTTTAGTGCAAATCTGCAGTAACAAATTTCATCTGGATAAGCCAAGTAATGTCAGGAATTAGTTCTTTATGCACTCCTTTGTTATGGAACGGCAAGATCTATTTAGAGTAACAGGAATGATTTGGTTGTTATAATCGCCGCAACTCGCGTAACCGAATTTTTTACGTACTAAGTTTTCAGCGCCTGATGTTTGCGTACTGCCGGTAGCATAGTAGACTGAACGTGGTCCATGACGGCATATTTCTGAACGCTTCTACGTTAAATTTTTAGAGTGTATGTGTTTTGTTTTTCAAACGCATAGCCAACCGGAGACACGTATCAGATAGTGGTGTACCGATTGTGTAGTAAATAATGGATATTCTATACAGAATACCATTTAATGTGCTGGAAGTACCAAATTTAAAGATAAAAAGGCCGTCATGGTTTCATCAACCTTCTGCTATGGTTATGTTTTCTCTTGTATTACTGTCATACTTCTTGGTAACAGGCGGTTAGCATTTTTATTCTAACCTTAAATATTGATTGTATGTACATATTTGTTACACGATTGTTTTAGTTTGAAATAGGTATTAGATATACTGTTATTTTAATATTCTGGTTGGTTACGAATATGGACCAGTATGTAAGATTTGAGGATTTCACGGCGGTGACTATGAAGAAAGCAGCCTTCTGGGATGTGGCACCGTGTAGATGTGGTGTTAACCGACGTTTCGGAGGAACGTATCGCCTACGTCTTCAGGGTAGACATTAGTCTGCTCGCACATGTTCTCACTGGCTCTTTGCTTGCGGATTTTCTTATTTTTCCTTCTACCCTGAAGATGGAGGCGATACGTTTCTCCGAAACGTCGGTTAACACCACATCTACACGGTGGCACATCCCAGAAGACTGCTTTCTTCATGGACCAGTATGTTTACAGTTAGCAACCTCCCAGCTTATAACTTTTGTGTATGTCTTTTGTATATTATAATCGGTAGAAACAGTTCTAGTGGTTTTTGTTTTGGCTAGCAGCCATCCCAAATTCAAGAATTAAGAGTTAGAATTAGTAGTATTAGGTGCAGATATACATAGCTAATTAAAAACCAAATTCCATGGAAATTTTACATTCATTGTATTATGGTGTTCCCTGAAGGTTTAAAGGCAGGAATACATCCATGTTACCTTACATCAGCAGATCAGGATTAGTGATGTGTCACAGTTGTTGGTATGAATGTGTAGGAAGTTTTTTGTTATTTACATCAGGTTATTGAGTCTATAGTAATACACATGTATGTATTTCATTTCCTGATGCATCTTTTGAAAGTTAACTTCTTACCTACATTTGGAATTCCATACTTGATACTATTTTCAAGAATTTCTCATGTCAGCCATTTTTTCAATGGTATGTTTATTTATAACTATGAAGTTGGAGGTCAGAAGTACTGTGCTTTATGCAACACAGTAATCAACCTTTATGATTACTTGCATCCCAGCATGTCTGAGGATTGGGATGTGCTGGTTGCTTGAGGAGAAGCCTCACAGAAAAGTCAAAACATGTTTTACTTTAATTCTTGTGTGAGAGTCTTCCAAGGTGATACAGCAGATTGATGAGTGAAAGATTTTGGATGCGTGTACTGTAATGCAATCACAAAGTAGCTAGCTGATGCTAGTGGTGGCTGGAAGAGGTATAAGTATGGTGGGTGCACATAGATGCATCAGAGATTTGTTTGAAATATTTGCTGATTGGATGAGAATTTTGGATGCTTGGATAGTGGGTAACTGAGAGTTTACTGTAACATGTTTTTATTAGTAGACATGCGTGTCTAGGTCACCTGTTTTCAAGACAGTTTACACCAGCAGTTGCAGAAATGTAGTTTTACAGATGTAATTTGATCAAAGCCTTTCAGTACATGCTCACCAGCGTAGGCCTGACTCATATACGAAGGGGGACCCAAAAATAACCGGAAACGACCTGTTGCGCGCGCATGCTTTGTAGTTACGAGTTGTGCTGCTAGGTGGTGTTAGCTGGGGGTCTCCCGCGACTGTTAGTGAGCTGGCGTCAGTCTGAGTTAAGTGGTTTGTCTGTGGTGCTCTGTTGTGTGCGTTCCTGTTTCAACCCTTTGGCGATTAGTGAGATGGCCGACCAGAAGGAACAAAGAGTGTGCGTGAAATTGATGAAGATCGTCGAAAGACCATTGACCAACTTTCTGAGGAAACGAACATCTCATGGAGCACGGTCCAGCGAATTTTAACCGAAGGTTTGCACATGAGACGGGTGTCTGCAAAATTTGTTCCTCGCTTGCTCGGAGATGACCAAAGAGAAAACCGCGTGAATGTTTGCCGCGACTTGAAGAGTGAAGTGCAGTTTTCCCTAACAGAAAGCAAAATTTCACGCACACTCTTTGTTCCTTCTGGTCGGCCATCTCACTAATCGCCAAAGGGTTGAAACAGGAACGCACACAACAGAGGACCACAGACAAACCACTTAACTCAGACTGACGCCAGCTCACTAACAGTCGCGGGAGACCCCCAGCTAACACCACCTAGCAGCACAACTCGTAACTACAAAGCATGCGCGCGCAACAGGTCATTTCCGGTTATTTTTGGGTCCCCCCTCGTATGTTATGTAATATCATACATAGATCTGCCTTCAGCACTTTTTAACAAGTATGGATAAAACTTTTCTTATTTTCAGGAATTATCTATGATGTAATTGTAGAACCACCTAGTGTTGGTTCAACAACAGATNATGTAATGTAATTCAGTCATCTACACTGTGCTGAGTCTGTAATTGGCCTTGCGGCTGTTGACTCGGCACATTAATAATAAAGAATTGAATTGAATTGAATTATTACAGTAATATGATATTGGTAATTCTAGGTGGCATTTATGCCATATCGAGTGAATGGGCAATATATAATGGAAGGTTTGGCATCAAGCTTCTTGTTCACCATGGGTGGGCTTGGCTTTGTTGTCCTGGATCATACTCACAGTCCGTCAACACCAAAACTGAATCGAATATTACTCATATCTGTGGGATTTCTCTGTATCCTAGTCTCATTCTTTACCTGTTGGATATTCATGCGGATGAAGTTGCCGTAAGTAATCAGTTTTTAGTGTTTAATGAACAAGGTATGGTAAATCTGGTCAAGAATATATTTGTTGTGTGTCATACTGGAGTTTAGAATACTGACTGCTTCCCTGAAACTTAAGCTGCACTCTCTTCCTTAGTTACAGATACTGTTACTCCCTAAAAATTAATAATATTAGCAGTTCTTAAGTGTGTTATTTTAATTGTTTATTCAGTGATAAATTGCACTGTAATTTTGGGCATGAATGGTGTTTATTTTGTGTCACTTGGCTGTACTTCTGCTTTGTAAATTGTGCAGAAAGTCTGTAGGGAGTATTTACAGACCTCTGTAATGGGAAGAGTGTTACATTCATAGTGGAAATTATTGAGGGATCATTAATGATTTGTGGGATGTTTCAGATGAAATTACTATGTAGGACCTACAGTGGCTTCACAGGTATTACAGAGTGGGTTGGCATCCCCCTCACTTTCAGTGCTGTTGCAAATGCTGAGGTATTAAATCAGCAGTGTGTAAATCAGATAATAACCAGATAGGTGCAGAATAGTAGGCATCTGTTCAACATGTTAACAGTTCCATTCAACCTGTTTACTGCATAACAGGAATACTTTTATGAATATGCCTTGCTGAAGTTCATGTATATTGCCGGCATTAGCAATGTTGAAACTTAAGATTATGTTATCACAGTGTTAATTTTTGGTGTGTTCCCAACAGAAAGTTGCAAAAACATGTCTTTCACCTTTGCCATGTCTGTGCCTGTCTGTCCACATGTAACAATTTGAGAGCCACTGAATGAATTTTCAGTAACTTTGATATTAGGGAGTTTTACTGTATTTTGCTTACATGTTTCAATATTTTTAAGCCAAATAAACACTTCATATGAAGACCTACAGATATTTGAGGTTTGCTTGCTAAAGATATACAAATTGAGCAAACAGAGTTTAAGAGCAAAATGCAGCAAACTTTTTATTTCAGCACAAGTCTTATGAATTCTGAGGTAACCAACCAAAAGCCATAATTTGAAGTTCTCAGAACTGGTTGAATGAATGCATAAGGGTTGTGGCCTTCCGGCCCTTGCACTGCGACCTTCAATGATCTGTTGTGCTTCCCCCCCCTTTTTTTTTGTTTAACCCTTTATCAATCCTACACTTTGAATGAAATGTAGGACAATTTGTTTATGGACGCGTCATAATAGTCAGTTGGTTCCATGAAAAACTGGCCCAAGTGACAAAATCTTAAATAAGCTATAGCCTCATGAATGAATGAATGAATGAATGTATAAGGGGTGGGCCTTCTTGGCCCTTGCACCACAACCACAGTGATCTATTGTGCCTCCCCTTCTGATTATCCCCTCAGCAATCCTGCACTTCGAATGAGGCACAGGATTTTGTACGTGGGGACGTCGAAATAATCACTTGGTTCCATAAAATATTGACCCAAGTGACATAATCTTAAATAAGCTAAGGCCTCACGTTCGCACAGGATATGTGTGGCTGTTTCATTTTCTTCTTGACACCTCTCACGAGTTGGGCTATTAGTCCCATCTTTCAGGTGACAGTGTCGTGTAAGTAGTTCTACCACCCATTGTAGCTGGTTCCTGTTTAACTTCAACAGTTCCTTCACTCTTTTAGTAGAGGGTCCTCATATGAGTCCCTTTGCTTTCCTGAGTCCAGTCATGGATCCCCAGTATTTCTTGTGATTTATATTTGTCCAGTCCCTGTTTGCCTTTGTGGCAACTCCTGTGAATGGATGTTCAGCTCAAATCTTGGCCAATTGGTCTCCTATTTCGTTTCCAGCAATACCCTCATGCCCTGGCACCCATATCAATTGAACCCTGTTATGTTTGGCCAGTTCCATGAGAGTTTGGTGGCAATCCCAGACCAATTTTGAATTGATCTGCTGTTTGTGAAGTGCTTTAAGTGCAGCTTGCTGTCAGATAGAATGTAGATGTTCCCATTTCTCTAGTTCATATCTAGATTCTCCATAATACATGCTTTAATGGCATACACTTCTGCCTGGAATACTGTGGTGTACTGCCTGAGGCTGAAACTAAGTTTCCGCCTCGTGCCATAGCAGAACACACCAGCTCCAGTGCCCTTATTTATCTTGGAGCCATCTGTTTACCAGATCAGTCCCCCTTTTCTATTGGGCCCAAACCCGTCTTCCCATTCACTCCTCCCAGGAAATCTGACTGAATGGTTTTTCATATACATGTCTCAGTATCACTTTGTCAGACTCCATTTGTAATATGGGTTCTTTTCTCATGTCCTGAGTTATGTATGCATGTCTGAAACCATCAAATCTAGGTTTCCATTGATCACTGCTCTGGAGACGGTAGATTCCTGCCCTGGCCTTGCCTCCAACTGTATATGCAGGAGGGGAGTCCAAGGAGTATCTCCAGTGGTGCAGCTGTTGGAGATGTTCGAATTGCTCCTGTGATATCCAAGCAAGCCAACCTTTGCAATTTGCTAAGTTCTCCCTTGCTTATCTTGAGTTTAACCCTGGGCCACCATACTGTGGCGCTGTATATAATTATGGGTTTTACAACTGCAGTGTATATCCAATGCACAACATGCGTCTACAGTCCCCAAGTTTTACCAAAGATGCTTCTGCATGTCCAAAAAGCCTTATAGGCTTTATTGATGACCTTGTCCAGCTGCATTTTCCATGTCAGCCCCTTGTCTACCGCTAGAGCAAGGTACTTGACATCGCTGGAGAGCTGGATCGTCTTATTGAAGAGGGTCAGTTCCTTAAGGCCTTTTATATTTCTCTTCCTGGTAAACGGTATAATTACCATCTTATTAGGATTGATGGAAAGGCTTGTTCTTTCACACCATTGTTGGACCGTGTACAGAGCTGTTTGAAGACGCTCTTATACTGTTGAAAGGAATTTTCTATTTATGAGGATTGCTATGTCATCAGCATATCCTACTGTATAATACCCATCATCATCAAGTCCCCACAGGAGATCGTAAACGACCAGGCTCCACAGCAGAGGCAAGAGCACACCCCCCTCAGGACACTCCCCAGACACGGACACCTCTAGGGGCTCTCCTGATAGTGTGGTATGTCAAGGAATGCTCCTAAGGCAAAATCCTTGTGTTCAATCACACTTTCTATGCATGTTACCACATTATGTAGTGCGCTTTCGGTAGATTTATCTGTTGCTATAGCCTCACAATCACATAGGATATGTATGGCTGATTCATCTTTTTCTAGGCTCCGTTTGCAAGTGGGGTCATCTGTTAGTCCCACTTTTAAAAGGTGTCCTTTTAGGCGAGAGTGTCCTGTAAACAGTCTTACCACCCGCCTTAAATGGTCTGTGTTGAATTTTGACAGTTCTTTCTTTTCTTCTGGCAGAGTGCCCTAGTATAAGTCCCTTTACTTGTCTGAGTTCAATTACAGATTCCCAGTGTTTTTTGTGATTTCTGTTTGTGCAATCCCCAACTGCTTTCATGGCAACTCCAATTGAGATGCCACACGTTGGTTTGGGTCCTGTGAACGGATGTTCAGATCCCATTCTTGCCAACTTATCTGTTTTGTTACTAATAATGCCCTCATGACCTGGCACCCACATTAATTGAACTGTTATGTTTGGCTAGTTGTATGAGGGATTGATAGGAGTCCCAGACCAGTTTTGTGGTGGTCTGGTGTGTATCAAGTGCTTTAACTGCAGCTTGACTGTCTGATAGAATGTAGGTGTTTCTTTTTTTTATAGATCTATCTAGATTCTCAACTGTGCATGCCTTAATAGCATAGACTTCTGCCTCGAATACTGTTATGTACTGCCCAATAAGTTTTCGCCTTGTACCATGGGAATACACCCCACCTACAGTGCCTTTTTTGCCAGCTGCAGTCCACCTACTCAAGACTAGGTGTTCCAGACCTTCTGTTATGGGTATGCCAAAAGTACTAGCTCCCTGCAGTGGTGTATCAGTACTACTGACTCCCAAGAGAGGGGTCCTTGGTTTTACATCGGGTAGGTTTCTCCCCACTGGTTCGTCCCTGCCTTTTGCTGAAATCTCAACAGGAGGTTCCCTTGTTGCAACTGGGCCCCATAACGGTGCACTGGAGCTTCCAGCCCCCTGATGAAGCATTTCTCATAGGGACCTCTTGAAGGGGCGTCCCTCTGCTTTTTTAGGTCCTGACGACTGTTTTTTTTTTTTGTTTTGGTCTTCATTGTGGTCCCTGAGTAGTGGTGGTTTAAAAGATTTCCTCCTGCAGTGCCCCATATGGGTGGAAGGCATAAATAAAATGGGGTGCTGCCTGGTGCCCAAGGGGATCATTCACAACACTCACCCCAGTTCCACGCAGCCCTTGGCACACCTAGGCTGAGGTGGTTTGGTCTTGTTGAGAATAAAACCCTCATGAGCCTCCAGGACCTAACGTGCATGTTCGGAGGGAGAGAGGTATTCCAGATGACCAGTAGGAGTGTGACACCAGCTAACCATGCAGTTGCTACCAGGAATAACTGCATGAAATGATCGTCCCCGGGGGTGGCAAGCCACCTCTTATTCCCGCCCCTCCACATGGGTTGGTTAAACTGTTTTAGAGTGTTGAGCCTGAAGGCTTGTGGCACCTTAATGGTACTCTAAGGAGACAACTCAAGTAGATGGAGCTACCCCCATACGAGTGCTATTCTCCTTTTGTCCCCGGACAGGCCGTAGTAATACCCGAGAGTTATAAGCTGCCGTGTGGGAGGCTCCAGTCGTAAGATGCCATTGCCCTGTATGGGAGCTTAACTGCCAGTTGTAGATTGTCATACTAATCCAGACCCTGAGAATGATGTTGCCCAGTGGGACCACGAGGAGGTGTCCCAGAGCTGTGTTCCGATGCACCCCCCACTAGAGACAGCCGTAGTTCAGTGAACCTCATTGAGGATGGCATCATTACTGCCTGTAATGTATGACCTTAAGTAGGTCATAGTTACCTGCACCGTCAGCAGTGGTTATGGAGAGTTCTGTCAACTTGGATATAATGCTGTGTAGTCCATTGAAAGTCAACGTTTTAGAGGCACATATTGCCTCCATCTTCAGGGGCGAAGAATAAGCCAGTGTTGTTCTGTGTTACCTTAAGATCTGCTGAGCAGATTGTCACCACTTCTCCACCTGCCTGTTTCATTCCATTTATAAGAGAATAGCAAAGGCTGTGTTTGAGAATTTAAAACCTGTAGATAATAAGGAGCAGACATGGCCAGAATTTTTGAATATGTACACATTTCCTAACTTCTTAGGATATGCCTTCTGTACTTCAGTCACAAATACACAGCTCCCCAGAAGGGTCATGCCCTTTTCCAAGTATGAGTATGTAAGGCATATTCCTCGTGAGCAATACCTCTGTTATTTTATTTGAAAGCACGTTATTTACCCATGGCACTGCAGTATAACCAAAGGTGAAAGCATTAACAAATACCAGGTGATGTTTAAACTTTATTGAGTGATACAGTTAGGGAAATCTATGTTACTGAAATGTATAGAAACAGACTTATTTAAAGAATCCTGAGTTTGATCTATGACTGCGTCTAGATGTGTATTTCTGTGCATAGTTGAAGATATGGCCTTTGCTGAAGCTAGATACTGGAATTTGGAGAATATCAGGCTCCATTGTTGTTTGAAGCCTATGTTAAGCTATATCAGATTCCCTCTGCTAGCAGTCTTTTTGATGGGAGTGGCAGCATATACCTCAGGGAAATAATTTGAATACTGTACTGAATTGAGGAAACAAGAGGTAATAAATCATTAAAACTTTAAATGAAATGGAATGTAGAGAACACAGAACATAATTTGAACTGTTTATGCAGATTTTTCCCATCTAAATATGTATTTGTTAAATTGTTTTAATATTTCAAATTTATTTCTAATTGCAGGGGCTACCTCCAGTCATGAACAGGCAGCAAATTTGCATGAATGAACGAACCAAAATGAAACTTATCACATGTGGCTGACTTTACATTTTCTACATGATACATTATCTGCATTGTCTTCATTGCATTGCATGAATGGTTTGTTAATATGGGTAAATGGGAATTTTAAAATAAAGTTTTAAAAATCAAGCAGCAGTTTTATTGAGACACACTTGTAAACATGGAGTTCACAGGTAGAATAATGTGAACTGGCAGTGATCTCATGTTAAATAGACATGTAGATACCTGTGACACTTTTTTAGACTCCTTAAAGAAAAGACTGGAATAGTACTATGTGATATATATAGGCCCTGCAGCTTGTTAGTCTACTTCACACTCAGTCTTTAATGCCTATGATGTATTTTCTGTCATACCTCACATGTATGTCATGGCTAGTTACTCTGTTGTCTCACAAACACTGAAAAACTGGTAACTACATAGGATTACAGATTATGGAAACTAAGAGAGATATCTTGAGTTCTGTTGAATGTTCAGCTATGATAAATGTGGAGATTTATGGTCCACATACTGAACCAATATGAATTGTTTTAAAATGTAGAGCAGAGGATGGGCACAATTAGTGGATTTACATGTATTATGATTATTAAGAAGGGAGTGGCAAGACCACATATTAAAATTGCCAACAAATGTTTATCTTATTACAGAATACATTTATAAAATCTTATTTATGAAACTAAGAACTGTAATGAGATATCTTGAACATGCAAGAGAGTAACATGTAAATTATCTTTGGTATACTGTTTGTTTCAAACATATTAAGCATATAAAAACATATATAAATATATTACAAAATCATTCCTACAGTTATGCTGGGCTTTGAGGATTCAAACTTATTATGCTAGGCTTTAAATCTAATAATAAATTACGCATTTCACAGTCTTCTATTAGATTACTTGGGATGCTCTAGTAATATCAAAAGTGTATTTCCTTTGAGCAGTAAACACTTAGCCGGTCCTATGCATATGGAAGTTGATTACAGGCGGATTCTGAAAGTGCTGAAATAATGGGAAAGCATGATTAGAATTTTGCATATTATATAGCTGAAACTGAACTCTTCCAGTGACATGAAGAAAACCAAGAATGATGGTTAGGTGTTGATTCTAATATACTTATCGTTTGTACAGTAGGAAAACATATTCTAGCGAACATTAGTACTGTGTGCTGATGCATATTTGAAGATCACCAATAAAATGACATTCTCTGACAGTGTGAAAGCACCCATGAGCTTTCTCATGTCTGTACATACTTACTCACGTAGCTGAGCCCTTCTTGAGGAGCTGCCAATTCTGTAGCTACTCAAGAATTTCCCAGCATTTTATGGAACCTGAAGGTTCATTACCGTGTTCACAAGAACCCTCCACTGGTCCCTATCCTGAGCTAGATCAATCCAATCCATACCATCCCATCCTATCTCTCTAAGACCCATTTCACATCTGTCTCCCTCCTAAATAATTACTTCATCTGAACATATTTTAACCTCTGCTGCCTGTGCTTTGCATAGTTATAAAAGCATCTATGAGTGGTGCAGCTGGCAAGGTGTTGCATTTTTTCAATATAGTACTGTTCTGTTCAATGAGGGTTCAGCTTTCTTGCTAAATAATATTTCTGATCATTCATAACTTAATATTGTTATATATGTGTTTTACCATAATAAATGTAATACCTCTTCATTTGTCTGGTAAAGTAGGTCTCAAAACTACTTATATAATACAATTATGTGCTACTTTACTTACTGTAAAACTGTAATGTAAATACCACAACATGAAGCACTTACTTTGCAAAATCAGAGGATTTAGAGATAATATGCTCAAATTCTGCAAAAGAGAGTGCTCCGTCATCATCTAAATCAGCTTCATCCAGAATATTCTGAATAAGATGCTGCATGTCCTGTTCACTGAGATGCTGCTGACCAGTTAGGCGATCTATTACTTGTCTGAGATCAGTTACCCCCAACATATCATCTCCATCAAAATCTGAAATTCAAAATCACACTAGTATATATGAACTGCATTTCTTGAATAGGTCTAAAAACTCTTTTGACATTTTCTTTCCAAAATAAGTAATGTAACCTGAATTTTTGTTATATGGTCCACATAAAAAAGTGAACACAACTATCACAATGTACACTTAAAATGTGGCTTAAAAAATTTCTTGAAAAAATGGCTCATTTACCAAAATTATATAAATCAAAAATATATACTGTCACATATATGAGTGACTATCATTGGGGTTTTGGATTGGATTTATTAACCACTTTAACACACGACTTGTGAGTACACCATTGCTAATCTCCACACTTTACAGATCACTCCAGCATATGCTATGTATTTTCAGTCTCCTGTGTCTTCACCAGTAGTTTTCTGGTAACAGCTCCAACATTGGCTATTTCTCTGCTTCTGTGCTCAAGTCCTCCCTGAATGGCTGTTCCCTTACAACTGACAAACTTCTAAACTTGTCCCACTGATAACCCTTGTCAAGGACCATGTAGAAAGGAACATGTTTGTTTGTGAAGGTGTTGCCCAGTACTGTTGTGTATACTTGTATGAATGTATAAGGGGCAGGCCTTCTTGGTCCCTGTACCGCGACCACAGTGAAAAAAGTTAATCAAGGTATGTTTACCAAATATTCGAAAAGCATGTTCCGCTTTCACAGCTTTTGGTGCTCCATCACTGAACACTGACATCATATCAAGAAAGTCTTCAAAAGTACAATCTCCATCATGGCTTGAACTAAATATACAGCAGATTCTGTCTCCAAAGGGATTCACACGTAGTTCAGGATACTGGAGTATTTTTGCCATAGGTAGTTTGGCATTTTTGTTGTGCCCCACTTTTTCTGGTGCAAGAGCTTTGAATTTCTGATGTGCACTGAAAGTAAAAATACAGACTGAAATGTCACAGTATCAGTGTAACTGTGCTCATATGCTAGTCATGACATGCATACTGATTGTGAATGTGAATTTTTGGATTTAATAACTTACTACAAGACTTCTTTCTTGGTGAAGTAAGTCAAGTCCTGTAACAAATATGAACAATTTTTTATATTCAAGAAGAGTTAAGGTAACCAATCCACTAATTTTAATCAAACCAATATTATGTATAATATGTACATGACGATCAGTCTTCGCCTGCTCGAATCCCACTTAAGGCATGGATGTCTATGTGCGTTTATTCTGTGTCTGTGTTGTTCTGCAACAAGGTGTCCTACCGACTGTGTATTGGATTAAGAAACTGAAAAGTGGCCAGGGCCCAACAAAGGGCTGTAGAGCCACACACATATACGAGTATACATATGTGATGTTTTTACCTGATAGTCCTGTAACTCTTCTTCCGTAAATTGACTCTTTCCTTGCCCCATGTTGCTTTTACATATTAAATATCATTTCGAAGAAACGTTATTACTCACAGTAGAATCCCGGAATATTTCCCTAACCATAAACTCGTTGGTTGGACAACCGTTCAGCCACGTATAATCGCAGCAGCAGCATGACTTATATTCGATGAATTATCAGAAGTGTTCAAAACTGAATATACGTTCCAAAACTATATTTATGTACGCAAACTATAATTTTTAATTACTTTTCATCATTTACATTTTGACTACCGAACATTATCTTCGAGCGACACCTGATGATAGTATGGTCGAACCAGCGAGCCAGACAACGTGAAAATTGATTATGAGACTCTTACGATAGATGGCTCTACGGATGACTCTCAAAATTACGAGGAATGCACCGGATGGGCATTGCCTAGGCCTCTTTCGTATTTACATGTTTTTTTTTTACAATAAAAGAAAAATACGAGGACTGCCTCCGACACCGTTCGTAGGCGTTTGGTGGGGAAGTACGACATGTAGGAGGTCATTGTTACTGGTTATGACTAAGTGAGTAATCAGAAAAATGCAGTATAAAAGAGTTTATTAGTTTAAGAAATGTGAGAGTATTGTTTGTTTCTTATATTGTTTAATGATAGATAAACTATTTCAGGGCTCAGACCTTACCTATTTAAGGGGTTTCCAACATTGACATGAAATTAATCTATCCCGTCTTTCAGACATTACTGGATTATAATTTGAACATAAATTAGCTGTAAACAGTAGCCTACAATGCCCCAACGGGAGGATCCTACATATTATTGTTGTTATTTACCATGACCTAGAGCCGTGAACCTGTCAACAAAAGTAAGAACGTCCCTGTGCGATGTAGAAGACATAAAGTCATTTCTATGAATAAATCCCACACGACGGAGACGTAAGTGCACGCAGAAATAAAGCTCCACGTATTTAGAGCTCTCTGTCAGCTTGACGTTCCACCAGCTTTACCATCTTGTATCAGTGAGCTCAGAACCTCTGAATTTAATGTCTGTCTCTGACATCGGGTAATGCGCTGTTAAGTCTGCACATTGTGCAGCTTGGTGGGGAATCGCCTTGAGAGACCGGGGCGAGTGTAGGAGGTTGATATTTGAAATGGATACTACAAGTTGTGAAGGGGCACGCGGTAGTGCAGTTGGTTGAGGCACTATGCTACAAGTCGGAAGGTCGAGGGTTCGACTCTCGATGAGGTCTTTGGAGTTTTCAATTGTCCTAATCCTTCCAACCGCACTATGGCCCTGGGATTGACTCAGAAATTGATTGACAGAAATGAGTACCAGGAATCTTCCTGGTGGTGAAGGGCGGCCGGGGCGTAAGGCTTACAACTTCACCACCATCTGTGAGCCGATTGTCTAGAAAATGTGAGAACCCCGACCTCTCACAACCCTATGGGACTCCACGGCCTGTTACAGGGATAAGAAAGTAAAAAAGTAAAGCTATCCCTGTAACAGGCTGTGAAAGCCCATAGGGTTGTGAGAGGTCGGGGTTCTCACATTTTCTAGACAATCGGCTCACAGATGGCGGTGAAGTTGTAAGCCTTACGCACCGGCCGCCCTTCACCACCAGGAAGATTCCTGGTACTCATTTCTGTTGGAGGCTGAGTTTTTTATTATTAAAAGTTGTACCGCTTACAATGATCAAAAGGTTATAGGGGATTGTGGTCTTCTTACGAACCTTGAATTCTTGGGTTCCAATCACAGTTGAGGCGTGGATGAGTTCTCGTCTTCTTTTATTACTTTCTTATCCTCTGTAGATGCAAATCTGCCTTCTCGAGGAATGTCGCTTTAACGTGGAGAGGTTTTCATGCCCCAGGGATCCGGAGATTTATGCTGGCGGTAACGTAAGCTCCTGGTAGACACACCCTTGCCAGACAAGTCAAAGGGTAGGGGCCAGACGAAGTGCAGTTCATGGTCCTACAGGTTGAGGGCTTGGTCGTGGGGTTACAACCCCACCCCAGGGAAGTCTTCTGTTACGAAATCTCCAGAGCTTATGGATGAAGACCGTGGAAGATCCAAGGTCCACCCATGGTTGTAACGGAAGTAAAGAAGAAAAAGAAGATACAAGCCTTGACCGGTCGAAGGATTTTTACAAAATGGCTAAAATACACTGTTGCGTAACTGAGAGTCGAAGTCATCTCCGAAGAGGAACACAAAAGAAAACAAAAGCGCAAGTATTGAGACCTCCTTTTTTATAGCCTTACTGCTCCTTCGCTGATGTAACCTACCTCTCTACTTGAAGATTACGCTCGTAAAATAACTTTACTTCAGTTGTCGAGAATAAATTTTGTCATAAACGCCAATCGCCTCTGCGTCGTATCCTAGAGGTGTAGGATTCCAATCTCGAGACATTTTCCACTTATTCTATTATTTTCCACAATTTTTTCATATTAGGCCTACCTCGAAGATAATGGTGAGTTAGTGACGGGGACAAATTGCCAGTCCTGAAATGATTAGAGGCCAATTGCATTAGACTAAAAATAAATTGCCAGTTTATAAAACAAAAACAAAACAACTACGTGATTTTAGTCCGCAAGTGAACTATACCGACCCAGCTACCGCCGCTTGTCAGCGAAGTTAGTGCCAACTTTTGCCGATAGAGGGTGTCGCGTGGTCAGCGCAGCGAATCCCCATGGCCGTTAATTTCGGTTTTCTAGACCGGAGCCGCTATATCCTTGAAATAGCTCCTCAATTATTCTCACGAGACTGAGTGGACCCCGTTCCAGACCCACTACTTTTCAGAAAATCTGGTAGCGCCGGGAATCTAACCCGGGACCTCTGGATCTGTAGCCATGAACCCTGACAACTAGACCACAGAGGCGGTCAAATTGCCAGTTTATAGTTGAGTTTAATCTGTATTTTTGTAAAATACTGCAGATTTAAAGAAGTAAATTGCAGTTGTCCCATTGTAAGTTTGTGAAAGTTTAACGTGGACAGCCTGCAGGCCGTTGTTTAGGGCCGCTAATGTCTTGAGAGCAACGAATAAGTCGTTCCAAGACGTTGGACGCAGAACGCGGAGTCGCTCTTGAACGTCATCAAGAGGCAGGAGTACGAACCACTAGGCCCCTGTTGTTCTAGAATCTGAAATTGACCTCTCCATATCTTGAAAAGCTTCATGGGGCACAACGCCACTAATTTATACACACATTCAAAACACAACAGAAAGGGAGTAATTGAATATCACATGCTCCAGTTTTTTAACATATTTTATGCCAGTACCCCACAACAAACTAGAACGAACATAATAAATCTTCCTCATATAAAATTCATTCTGACGAGGAGCTTCATAACTTGTACCCTTCTCCAAGTATAATTAGAACGAACAAGTCAAGGAGGATGAGGGGGGCAGGGCATGTAGCACGAATGGGGGAGAAGAGGAATGTATATAGGATATTGATGGGAAAGCCAGAAGAAACCACTGGGACGACCAAAGCGTAAATGAGTGGACAATATTAAAACGAATCTTAAAGAGATAGGATGGGATAGATTGGATTGATCTGGCTCAGGATAGAGACCAGTGGAGGGCCCTTGTGAACACTGTAATGGACCTTCGGGCTCCATAAAATGCTGGAAAATTCTTGAGTAGCTGCAGAATTGGCCGCTCCTCAAGAGGGGCTACTAAAAAATAGTAAATAAAAAATTAATTCTGAAAGAGGTCCAGATGTTCTGTGTTCCATATTTTCAAGACATCGTATCTGTTTTACATAAAACAAGTATAGTTTTAAAATAGAAAACGCTAATTACATCACCGAAGGCTTCTCTGTTCTATTTTGTGACGACGTGGCATTCTCTGTTCCATTCTGAGGCGTCATGGCCTTCTCTGTTCCGTTTTGTGCAGTCCTGAAGTGGACATCCCATTTAAAAACAGAAGGCAGCTTTTTCATATACTTAATTCCACTCCAACAACGTTTAAATTTGTTAGTTTTAGATGCGGGCGTGTCTCCATCAAAACAGCTTTTTCTTTCACCTGGAACATAATATAGAGTGTACAGATTTTGTTCTGTGCGATTCAAATTGGAGAAAGACTCGCACCTTACTTCTGATATTTCCACTTCTAAAGAGGTGCAAATCTATGTATATACTTCTGTGTATGTAGAGAGTATATTGCCACGTGCATGTATGACTATAGACGGGGGTTTGGATTTGGTACTGGATTTATTGACCACTTACAGGTCGTAACTACGAATAATTACAACACTATCCCTATTTCCGCACTTCACAAAATGACCACAAGTCTTTTCCAGCCCGCAGTGTCTCCACTAATAGTTGTCTGGTAACGGCTTCTAACAGTAGCTATTCATCTGCTTCCGGGCTCAAGTCCTCTCTGAATGGCGGCTCCCTTCCAACTGAAATATTCTTCAGGGTTACCATATGACTGGGGGTTTACCGCAAATCAGTTCATCTTGACGACAAGCCCCTTGAGACTTATAACCAATAATTTTATTTTCCAGCTGAACACTTGCGGTTATAATGTAACATCCTCTCTGATGAGAGGATAAGTAAAATAGTTTTGTGAAGGCCAATGGAGTGTGAAGAGTGTGAAATGTAAAGATAAATTGTGAGTTGGTCCTGTGTGAGAGACTCATGTCATGGCAGAACGTAGTGGAGTGGAGGCAAACCTCAAGACATTAACTTTGTCAATAGATGTAAACTATTAGCTTTACTCTTCGGCCTCTTTACCTCTAGGATAAAGAGCCTCCGATGTCCATTGGGTAGGACAGAAAGAAAGAAAACATAAGTTTACCTGAGTTTTGTAGTTCAGCACACTTTGTTAGCCTTATAGTAGTATCAGCTGGCTGGTCCCCTCCAGGCCACAATTCGCACAGATACGGCAACTTTGCCGAGCATCTCGACACTTGCCATTGCTTGTTGCCGCCCAGCGCCACACAATCCTCGTCGGCTAGACGGTCTCGTGGCTCACTGGGGGCCCAGGCGACGTAATCAAAACAGTTCAGCGGCTCTCCTGAACAAAGTAGAATGTTTACTACTCCGAGATAAAAATCCTGACAAATACGTAAACAGAGGAACGGGCATGTAACTGGGAGGATAGACAATAATTCCTTTTTTTTTCATTGACACTACAGCCCTCATTTGGGCCTAGGTTTACCTCCATGAAACTCTCCGTTTCACTTCGGTTTATTAGATCTTAGACATACGGTAGGACTCCTTGGGCGGGTGATCAGCTCGTCACAAGACCTCTACCTGTACACAAACACAGAAAAATGCACACAAACATCCATGCCCTGAGTGGGATTCGAACCCACGATCCCGGCTTCCGAGCGAGCGAAGACAGAGACAATAATTACCTATACAAATTATTACTGTCACGAGATTTATCACTTTTACCACCGGTTATGGTAATTCTATTAATAACCTGTTAAGGTTTCTGTAAGGGACCTAACTGAGTAGGTGTCTTCCCCTTCAACTGAGGACGGAAACAGATCCATTTTCCGAAACGTCGTGCCTTCTATTTTCTAGAATACCGGACGATGGAAAAAGTCCAAAAACTCAGTAATTCTGTGCACCAGTTATTTAATTTTACCGTGACATGTATGTATATAGAAGGAACAAATAGATTGACAGATAAATGGGTAGGACAGATAGCCGACGGATAGACACATAGAAAAATAGATCGATATGTAGACAAACAAGTGGATTGGATTTCAATGTATTTATGAAGATATAAAGGCACATTTTGATTGTTCAAGACTGATGATCAGCCGGAAGTAGATCATATGAACTAGGGCCGCAAACTTCACACAGGTGTTAAGACTTTTAACGGTCTTGCTTTACAAAGAAAGGCATATAAATGGAAGCAGTTGTTACTTATGTACTTAACAGACCAGTAATCAGTTACCCGTTGTTGTAACGAATCGACCTTCAACTTTAGTATCATCGAGACCGATGTATGCTCTCTTTGGGGCCCTGCTGACTCTCATTTGTTTAACCAGTGCTGACAGGGCAGTAGTTCGAGTCTCAGAGATCACGTGTGCCAGCTCACTGTCCTTGGTTCGACATGAGTTCAGTGCATGGGAGAAGTTGAGTCTCTCCAGATGAAGCAGAAAGACTCCTACCTTGGGTATGCAGGTGTGGTTTATACTTGCTGTAACAGCACAAAGTTTAATATATCATTGTGAAGCACAGATGAGTATATACTTTTGAATTAATTATGAGAGGAAGAAAGCGAACTCGTAGTTTAATTTCACATGATCCTTGCAAGGAAACTGGTGTCTGAAAATTCATAACAAAAGTAAGCTGGTTTTTATCGTTATGTTTCCTTATTTCCGAATTTGTAAGTTAGTACGACTATTTTTCTATTCTCTGTGGTCTAGTGGTCAGAGTTCCTGCCTACAGATCCACAGGTCCCGGGTTCGATTCCCAGCGCTACCAGATTTTCTGAGGAGAAGTGGATCTGAAACGGGGTCCACTCAGCCTCGTGAGGATAATTGAGGACCTATTTCAAGGAAATAGCGGCTCCAGTCTAGAAAACCGAGATTAACAGCCGTGGGATCCTTTGCGCTGACCACGTGACACCCTCTATCGGCAAAATTTGGCACTAACTTCACCCACAAGCGACGGTCGCTCGGTCGGTATAGTTCTCTTGAGGACTAAAACCACGGAGTTTGTTTGTTTGTATGATGTAATTATAGCTTTTTTTTAATTGCTAATAGTTTGGTGCAAATTAAACATTATTTACAGTAGTGCGAATTACGTTATTATTTGGTTTTGAAGTATGTGTAAATTAGAATTAAATCTTGAAATTGGACAAATACAGATTCCTCGTATTTTTATGGTTCATCTTATGGCGCTGTCAGTATATCAGACTGTGTATCGTTGAATGGCGTGACCATTGATGATTGATGAATTGGAAAGGATTTGGAAGTAAGTGGTAATAAAGATATTATCCTGGAATTTGCCTGGAGGAAATGAGAAAGATTACGAAGAACTTTAGTTAGGATAGACAGTGTCCCGGCCGAGATTCGAATCGAGAGTCTCCTAAATACAAGTCTAGAGCGTCACCTCTTCACAGACCTGTTCGGGAAATTGTTCATATAATTTTCGTATTTCCAAAGTGACAATTTGTTGTAGCACTCTAGCTGGCATACTGTTACTATGATATCGTGTAGGATGCAGTAACACAGTATTAAAGTCACCTTCAACTTATCTGCTGTTCTTGCACACATTGGCCAATATTTTGTTTCAGAATAATTGTCTAGGTTTTTATACTTATATATTGTCTTGAGTAGTCTTTTTGTTAAAACTGACATAACTAGAAGTTAAAAACAATGAAATGTTAATGTCAAAATTTCAATTTGAGAGTCTCATGTTTTTAGGTCTGTATGGTTTATGGATGCCTAACAACGTTGTTTTTATTCTGAGTCTTGCTGGAAGTTGTGGGGTTTGGATCTTCCTTCCTCTGCGTGATATCAGGCTTGTGTTTTCTGTCTCTTGTTGTATACTCCTATGATCTGTGGGTGTATGATGTTTATGTGCTCTATTGTACGAATTGTATTGTAGGCCGCTTTTCCTATTATTTTGCTTATTCCTGTAGGCCTGACCTCATTATGAAGGTCGTTGTATCCGTGGCTAGTGACCATGTAGATCGCAACAGCTAGAACGTTCCTCCCAAACAGAAACATTTGCCAATATAGGAAGCAACAGCAGATGAGCTGAAGGTGAATGTAAAAATTGTGTTAATATCTGATGAAGGTTGAAAAGCAGGAAGTTGCAGCAAAACTACGAGTATAATGTATGATATATCTATATAAACATAACTGTAACTATAATAACTGTCTCACACAGTATGACGCTGAAATAAAATATTTTAAATACAGTAGCTTACTTTTGGTTTACTTTGACATAGGCTTACTTATTTTTTTAATTCGCTTAGTGGGGGATGAAGTCCAACTGGGTCCACTCAGCACGGCGGCCACTGATTGGCCTATAGTAGCCTGCTGCGGGTGATTATGATCATGAATAATTTGGTGGAATGAAGATGGCAGGGGAAACCGAAGTACTCGGAGAAACTCCGCCCCAGCCCCACTCTGTCCACCACAAATCCCACTTGACCAGACCCCGGGATCGAACCCGGGCCACCGCGGTGGGAAGCCAACGACTAGCCGCTTGAGCTATGGCGCGGCTTTACTTACTTACTTACTTATGGAGCTGAACTCTTCTTGAGAAGAAGGCAAATCTGCAGCTACTCACCAATTTCCCAGCATGTTATGGAAACCGTAGGTTCATTACCATGTTCACAAGAGCCCTCCACTGGTCCCTATCCCGAGTCAGATCAATCAAATCCATACCATACCATCCCATCCTATCTCTCTAACATCCATTTTAATATTGTTCACCCACCTACGCCTTGGTCTTCTCATGTAGTCTCTTTCTTTCTGGCTTTCCCACCAGTATCCTATATGCATTTCTCCTCTCCCCGTTCGAGCCACATAACCTGCCCACCTCATCCTCCTTTACTTGATCATTCTAATTATGCTTGAAAAGAGTACAAGTTATGAAGCTCCTAATTATGCAGTTTTCTCCAACCTCCTGCTTTGACATAATTAGTGATGGTAATTACTCCTCGAGCTGTCTAAGCAATCTTTGTTTCTAAAGAATTTATTGACGATCTTTAGTTAATTGAGCATATGAGAGACCGCTATATGTCTTCTCTTATTATTTATGAATTCATCACCATTAGACCATGTTCGTCAACCTACACGGAGCATGTCCTGTTCTCGCATTCAGGTCCCCTCCTATAACCACACAATCCGTATTATTCTGATTCATCGTTCATCTTGAGTCACTTCCTAAATCCGGCACTATATGGTCTTCTCGAATTGTATAATAAGTATAGTGAAAGCCGGGACAACACAGTCGGTATAGGGACTGGCTACGGGCTGGACGACTGAGAGGTCGGAGTTCTAGTCCTGGTGGGAGCAAGAATTATAATTTTTCCATGTCATCAAGACCGACTCTGGAGCCCATCCAACCTCCTATCCAATGAGTACCGGGGGCTTTTTCCTCGGGGGTAAGGGAGCCGGGACGAGAAGCTGACCACTTACCTCCAACTGGTATCAAGTCAAGAAAATATGAATCTATACATCCACTCCCCCATACGCCTGCATGGCGTAGTGCGTAATTGGTTAAGCACAGGGACATTGCACCCTTTTATTTGTTTATAATCACTGTGAATGCCATTTGCATTTCTAAATTCATGGGTATACTGTGTATATTCGTTGTAAAATATATCAAGGATCTACTTGTGATTTTTCTGTCCGGTATCCACCAAATTATTCTCAGCTGTCAGATTTATTGGTGACGTAGCTGTTTGCTCTGTGGGCACTCGATTATATATTACAAAAAAGAATGTTCAATTTTGTATTTTCTTTATTTTTCCTCATTGTTTCAGTTAAGATTACTACACATTTCTTTTTTCTCTAAGTCCTTAGAGAATGTTACTTTCTTTTGGTCTACAATATTATATTTAAGCATCCTGTTGCACTCCATACGATAAATGATATAACCTCCGTCTCAAGTGCAAACAATATATTCTTGTGTCTTTGATCTTGNAGGGCGAATAACCCTAACAATTTTAAAATTTTAAAATTTGGACAAGAATTTTTAAAATTTGGACAAGAATTTAAAAGTTCAAAATTAGAACTAAAGATTTTATTATGGTGCTATTACAATAAACTCAAAATTAACGTGTGTGAAGTAATCTACGGGTGGACAGCTATCAACGAAGTAGAAGTTGATAATGACAGGGAGAGTGTTTTAGATGTTAAATTTTGAACTGGGTGCAGTGTGACAGCGACGTGAGTGTTATACACCTGATGATGGCCGTCTGAGGCCGAAACATGTAGTGTAGGGAGCAAGATCAAAGACACAAGAATTTATTGTTTGCACTTGAGACGGAGGTTATATCATTTATTCTTTTGGTCTAATTTACGTTTAGATAGAAATGACTTGACTTTGACTTTGAGGTAATAATTGTGTCTCTTGAGATGGCAGTAGAATTATTGAGTAGCGATGTTAATCAGAATCGACAGAGCAGTTGTGAATAAAAGAATTAGGCTTTGAAAAGAAGATTTCATGCGTACTGCAGTTACAGCGAGACTGGGATAATTACTGTGCTAAAATCCGTTGCCAGGATACGACTAGTGAAGACTGAGAACCCTAATATGTGCGTAACGGTGAACTGTGAGGTGTATAGATCAGCGATAGCGCTGTAACACTTGTAGATACGAGTTGAGTGTATAAGTGCAGTAAATCCAATCATTCAATCCATGCCCCGTATAGTCACCCATACACATGATAGTATGATACTTACGCAGAGGGTTGCCGTATAAACTATAGTAATCATAGCGCAGATCTTTCTTGAGAGACGTCAGGGTCTCGAACTCGGGACAGTCGCACACAATGCAAGTGCTTCTACTCTCCATTAGTCCAGGAGGGCTGAAGTTGAAGGCCAGACCCCGTTTTTGCAGCGCGAAGAGAGCGCACTGTTCCGGTGTGGGTAGCCTCGCTCGAGCAATCGCTTTCATCATGGAGCGACTGCACGTTTGGATCAAGTAGAAGTCGAGCAGGGACTGTCGCCTTACCTGCAGCAGTGTACTCGATGTTGTGCATCGCTGTGTAATTTCATATTTAGGTTTCAAGCTTATTTTCAATATCAGGAATTGACATGTGGTGTCTGCCCGTGCACCGGAAACTTCTGGAGTGATAGGTCTTTGTGCCATGCTTTCTGCAGTGTGTCATACGGCCTCATTCATGGCTTGGTGCATCTGAAATATGCTCGCAAAGCGGTAGAATTTAACATTTTTAACGTTAAACGAAAGAGTAAACATGCTTCATGGCTCACATTGTCCAACTGTCTATAATAAAACTAAAAAAAAAAAACTCCGTGGCCTGTAGTCCACAAGCGAACTATACCGACCGAGCGACCGCCGCTTGTCGGCGAAGTTAGTGCCAACTTTTGCAGGTAGAGGGTGTCAAGTGTTCAGCGCAACGGGTCCCCATGGCCGTTAAAGTCGGTTTCCTAGACCGGAGCCGCTATTTCCTTGAAATAGCTTCTTAATTATCTTCACGAGGCTGAGTGGACCCCGTTTCAGACCCACTACTTCTCAGAAAATCTGGTAGAGTCGGGAATCGAACCCGAGACCTCTTGATTTGTAGCCAGGAACTCTGACCACTATAATTCCTTTAAATGTCTGCACACTTTCTAAAAATGTAACGACACTACCGGCGTGTATGGAAGACTCTTACCGTGACGTTTAGTGATAAAATGTTATTTTGGGCGCTGTTGGCCAATTAGGACTATCAATATATTTTATTCTCTCTTTCACTCATCAATGGCTCTACAGCCCTTTGTTGGGCCCTGGTCTTTTCTTCAGTTCCGTAATCTTTTTTACACAGACGGTAGGACTCCTTGGATGAGTGATCAGCTCGTCGCAAGGGCGCTACCTACACACAGATCAACACAAACAGAATAAACGCACATACAAACATCCATGCGTTGATTGGGATTCGAACCCACAATCCCAGCGTTCTAGCGAGCGAAGACAATTCATGCCGTAGACCACGCGGCTACTGTGATCGGTATCAACACATTTAGAAATATTAATTAAGTTTAATTTTTATGTAGTTACTATAATTCGAAAATACTGTATCAGAGGAAAGGAATTTTATTACAAATAGAAAATTTACTTGTGTACTTACACGTCTCACTTTACAAATATCTGAGGTAGACGGGGGCTCTGGGCACTAAAATCATGCACGTTAGGCCTGCTGTTGTGTAGTGTGTAAATATTCTGTTAACAAACCATTTGCTAATGCCGCTTAAAATTATTCGCATTGATATCTCACATCATGCTTACCTCTTCACACATGAATACTGCTCTGACGATTGAAGGTGCAGTAGCTACCATCAAAATTGTCACCCAAACCGTCCACATTTAAACGGAGAAACTGGAATAGATATAAAATAAAAATAGCAGCTATTGCAGTGCCCAAGCGGAGCAATTCGAGAACACAGACAGGCAAAATCAATTAATTTTTCTGTTCTGTTTACCATGCGTAACAGTTAAAGGATTCGGTTGGTTGGGTGGCATCTCTTTTTATTGAGAGAGCTGGCGTCCAGTGACGCTGGTAGGGCGAAGAGGGAGGTATGATGCAGAGGAAATCATCCGAAATTGACGCAGTGTAAGTATTGTATGCAATGTAATTAATGGTACAAAAATGATGAAAAGGTTTCATAATCAAACAAGTTGTCATAGCTGGAATAGTGTCAACTTCTATATGGAAGGCGTTGAGTGCCGGCCAGAACACCAGCAATCTTGGCTGAGGCTTTTCATGGTTTGCCTCACAATTCCAAGCAAATCCCAACGCAGTACTTCGATTAGGCCACGATAACTTCAAGTAGTTACTATAGGATTCTGACGATGGTGTATAACACGCAGAGAAATTGGGTTTTCGGACTTTATCCATCGTCCTGGTTTTTAAGATAACTAATAAAAAATAAAAACACGACGTTTCGGAAACTGGATCTGTTTCCGTCCTCAGGTCCAGTGATTAGGCTAGCTCTTTCTAAGGGACCCAACAGAGTAGGTGATTTTGCCTCACCTGAGGACGGAAACAGATCCAGTTTCCGGAACGTCGTGTTTTTATTTTTTATTATTTATCTTAAAAACCAGGACGATGGATAAAGTCCGAAAACCCAATATCTCTGCACGATAACTTCCTTCCGTGTCCTTTGCATTTCATCATTCATCTGTATTCCTCTCATTCGACTCTGTGCAGGTTAGCTACTGACAGCGTCATTAAGTGGTCCACAAAGAAAACAACTTAAAGGTAACAGCTTCACCGTTCTGTTAACGGACATGTTTCTTGTGTAAATAAATATTCCAAGGATCCATAAAACGCACATATTATCTTTGCACTATATGCATAAAGCCTATTAATTTAGAGAAAGCCATAAACACAGTAACAGAGTTTGCACTATCAGAAACACCCATCTCACATACTACGTGGTTCTCACTTGGTTCTCACTCGGTTCTCTGCGATGTCCTGGTTCCGAAGGACAGTTAGTGTCGATAATATGAGTCGCATATCAACTTTCTACATATTTTGTACTTAGCCTTTAAGAGCCACTATAATCGCAACCCTCTTTCAGTAACTTCCTGGTTTTATAATTTTGTAGACCTACGTACATTTAAAATTTGTTTCCATTAGGACAGGTTGTGTTAAGGAAGGGGTGTATGATTTTTTTATCACTCTTCCAGGTGCTAAGCACTTATTTTTCTAATTTCGGGCTTTATATGAGGTTATAACTAATATACACGTATAATATTTCACACCGAGGAGCCCGCGCTTCTTACAATGTAGACTCCGTTCTATCTGAAACGCCTCATACTGTATCTCGATGCGTAGGTGGGATGAAGTGGCTTGTCTGAGTGGCGAACGGTGGTCATGCCGGTAAAGGTACTGAAGTTAAACAGTATGTGGTCTATGAAGAAAGCAGTCTTCTGGGATTTGGCACCGTGTATAAGTGGTGTTAACCGACGTTTCGGAGGAACGTATCGCCTCCATCTTCAGGGTAGAAGAAAAAGTCGCTTGCAGATTTCTTATACTTTTTCATCTACCCTGAAGATGGAAGCGATACGTTCCTCCGAAACGTCGGTTAACACCACTTATACACGGTGCCAAATCCCAGAAGACTGCTTTCTTCATAGTCACCGCCGTGAAAGCCTCAAATCTTACACAGTATGTGGTCTATGTTTTAGAAGGTACTGGGTCCTGTACATTCATTTGTCTGGAAAGGCTAAATAAAACCACGGAAATAATCAGTCGCATGAGGATTTAGCAGACGAGACTCTAATTTCTCAATACAAGACTAAATTATCTTACTGTGGTCCGTAAGTGTACACCCAGTAACTCTAGTTTGTTACCGATAGTTTCCTATGACACAGAATTCGGAATTCCTTAGTGCTGATCTTCCGATGGAGTAATGAGGAGAGTAGCTTGCAACAGACTGTGAGATCAGATTTCGGTTCCTGGCAACAGTTATGAATTCTCCCTTCGTCGCCACATCGTGACCGGCTCTCAGGCCTGTCCAGCCTCCTACCGCAGCTCTGAGCTGCTTCAGTTGCCCTCGCATCGTCTGTCTTCATTGAATATACAATGTTTTTCACTACCTGAAAACGATAGCAATAGTAAAGTGTAGCATCAATCCACGTTCCTCTCCTTGTGATGACGGGTTCCGGGGGCAGTGGAACACAGGAGTCGCAGATTTAAATTGTATTTTACGAGTTGGAGCCTTGACGAAAATCTTCGTCCACGACACGAGATCATCCAGTTGAAATCTTGATCTCACTTCCTCCGTCACTCTATGCAGTGCCTGTGTTAGGCAAGTAACGTGCACCAATTTCGTATAAAACGACTTTATTGACTTCCCTGCTTTTAAAATATATGGGGCCTCATCCTTCACAAAAAGCAAGACGATGTCGTGTCGTATACCCTCTGGCTACAATAGAAACACAGACCTGTCTAAAAGTTTACAAATTGTGGAATGATTAACGGATTCTAGCACCTCACTCGTAAGCACAAACAGCTCACCTGGTAAATCAGTTTCCAAGGTTCCAGTGATGTTTGCACCGTAGCGAGCCTTCATATCGCAGGTCTCATCAATAGAAACAAAAATCTTATTCTCATGCGCTTTATTCCTAATCATTTCCAGGATATTGTTGTAGCATTTGGAAAGGTAGTGGATTCATCCGAGATAGAACGACCAAAATTCACTTACAGAAAATGTTTCAGTTTTTCATTTTTCAGAACACAAAGCGGAATATTTGCGGACACCAGAGCATCACTCAGATCTGTGAAAAAAAATTCCAATGACTTATTTCCGCCTTCAGATGAACACTGTTGCAGTAACATTTGCACAGAGTTCTTTTTGTTCGAAATTTGCACTGTTCGTATATTCTTGTTGCGGCCGATATGTTGTACCGTGAAACATTTTTCTGCAGTTAATTTTGTGTCACACATCTTACAGTATAGAATTTTACAGTCAGTTGAAAATATATGTCATCTCCAAATCCAGTTACAATGTGCTTTTAAATGACACGATTTAGATGGCTTTGCTTTAGGCATCGTGATGAAATGAATCACTCTAGTGCACATTCACATTTCTGAAAACATGAAGAAAAATTCCCGAAAATGGCTAAAATGAAAAAAAAATACTCTTGAAAGTCCAAAATACCGAAAACTTCCCCCCCCCCCCCGAGAAAATGACCTAAAACTTAAAAATGACGGAAAGTGACAAAAATGACCCATAAAACTTACATTTCTGTAACCAGCAGCTCGTCTCCGGGACTTATATATTTACGGGCATCGAATAGGATACAAGGAAAAAAAGATGACATGTCATCAAAATCCAGGCCCTGGTTATCACAAACTATTTTAATAGATTGTGATTGGTAGAGAGAGAGAGAGAGAGAGAGAGAGAGATGAGTTACCAGTCGGTCAACTGAATACAGACAGGAACAGTGTCTGAAAAGAGCAAAAAATAATAACCAAAATCTATTTGAGCACAAATAACGGCTTATTTTCTTCGATATTAAAAATTAAGCGTATATCTTATCAAATAAGTGGCTGATAGTGAACGTTTTATTCCTTTGTTCTACATACTCTTGTACCACGCTTAGTTCGTAGGCCATTTTCAGCCATATTGTGAACATTTTGCAGAACTTTTTATACCAGCGATTCCAAAACAATTTTTTACCTACAGCTGTTGTAAGATTGAACAGTACTAGTTTTAGAGTAGTGTTCTTGTTATTTTGTACCTTTATTCAGTCCGATTTGTATTTATGTAAGTGTGCTGATAGGCGTTTGAAAATATAATTAATAGTATAGTCAAGTGCATCAGATTTTATTGCTTTTGTTAAGATAGAATAATACTAGGTTCAGCGAAGTGTATTGTAATTTTAGAACTTAAAGTGGTTGATTTTATATTTTCTTTACGTGCCGGTAGGCCTAACCTACAAAAAGAGTGTGTGAACGTGTTTAATCGTAATATGGTGAAGTTTAGAGTGGGCTGTAAGCTATTTTTATCAGCACTTAAGTATCTTGTAGGTCTTAGATACATAAAAATATTTGTCAGTTGTCCTTAAATTTCCAATTAGTACCAGGTTATAGACTTAACTGTGAGTGACAATGGCCACAAAAGGTAATGACTTATCAGGTAAATGTGGGGCCTGCATTAGCCAGGGGATAGGGTGGGAGGATTGTGGCCAGTGGTTTCATTGGGAGTGTGCTGGTACAAACAGTGAATTGGCCTTATTGCCTTGGTACTGCAACTCCTGTGTGCAAGCCATGGTAATAAAGAAGCAAGAGGAGACAATCTTGAGTTTGAGTAGGGAGCTTGAATTTACAAAAACTGAGATTAGCTTCTTAAAAGAGGAATTAAATTTAGTTGATAATTGTCCTGAATAATTTAGGACTATATTGCACTCCCGAAGGAAACATAAGATTGTTTCCTCATCATTAGATACTAAGTTTACTTCAACCAATCGATTTGAACATTTAGCTATGCTAGAGCCCCAAACTGATGGTAACTCTGTAGACCAGCCAGCCAGTGCTGAATATAGTTATAAACCTATATTTAAGGCAAAGCCTAAACATCAGATTCTTGTACTTGGTAGCAGTCATGGTAGGGGTATCAGATAGAGGCTTCAAAATGCTATGGGAGATGGATATGCTGTGACCAGCATATTCAAGCCCAATTCTGAGCTGAGGAGTGTCACTGGGGACAGAAAATTTGTGTAAGGATCTTAATAAAGAAGATCAAGTAGTTATAGATGGGGGGCAGGAAACAGTTTAGATAGGAACCTCAATTACCAAATTGAGAAAGACATAAGTGACATTGCTCAAAAAACCAGTCACACCAATGTGAAGATCGTTGGCCTTCCCTGGTGACATGACAAGCCATGGGTTAACAGGTGGGTAAGGGACGTTATTCTTTGACTTGAGCGTTCGCTTATGGGGATTGGCAGGACTCACATTGATGGGATTGATGTCTCTTCAATAATGAGGAATAAGCATACTGTCCATGGTCTGCATCTTAATCCTCAAGGCAAGGACAAGCTCACGCGACTCATTGTAGAGAGCTTTAAGGGAAGACACATTCCAGTTGTCATGGGTGTTCAGAATCTTTTTTTAGGTTAAGCAGTGCAAGTAAGGTTTACCAAGTAAAAGAAATTGCAAAAGAAAATAATCCTTCAGCTAGTAATAAATGCCAAGAAATAGAACAAAAAAAGAAATAACAGCTCGATAAAATCAATACAAAACAAAGTACTAAGAGTATTCCATCAGAATATAAGAGGACTGAGAAATAAATCAAATGAATTAACAAGCTTCATGCGTTCAAGTCTCCCGCACATACTGTGCCTTACTGAACATCACATGAAGCAGCTGGAATTAGAACATTTTCACACAGAAAATTATAATTTAGGGGCTAGATATTGTATAAAAACGCTAGAGAAAGGAGGAGTGAGTATTTTTGTATATAAAAACGTGAAATTTACTAAAATAAATTTAGAAGATTATTGCAAAGATCAGGATCTAGAAGCCTGTGTTTTAAAGTTAGACTCTACTTTTTCTGACATTTGTATACTGACTTTATATAGAGCCCATCTGGGAATTTTGATCAATTCTTAGATAGATTGGAAACCATCCTCATTGTACTGCATAGTCCAAAAGTTGAATTTCTAATTTGTGGTGATATAAATGTAAACTATCTCACTGATAGTAATAGGAAACTAAACTTAGATTCTTTGTTATTATCTTACAATCTCTGCAGTACTGTTAAATTTCCCACAAAAGAGTTCAAAATAACTCAAGGTTAGCGATAGATAATATATTCGTTGATAACTCAAAAATAAGAGACTATACTATAGGACCCTTTATAAATGGCTTGTCCGATCATGAGGCCCAACTCATAGAAATAAATAATATTAACCTTCACCCCAGTAGTCAACAATATAAAACAGTAAGGAAAATCAACAAGCATACGATGGCAGATTTTGTTACAAAATTAAGTAATGAATCTTGGGACACTGTATTTGACAGCAGTGATATGGATTCTAAATTTAATTCTTTCTGAACACATACTTGAGGATCTTTTATTCAAGCTTTCCCTTAAAAATAGTAAAAAATGACATAAAAACAAAACCACCTGGATAACTGTTGGAATCAGTGTAACAGGACGCTAAAATATAACATTAAGAAATTCTATTTATTTATTTATTTATTCACTTCACATCCATGGATCATTATACATGACATAGGACAAGTCAAAACACTCTATAATCCAATACAACGATACAATAAGACAATACAATGATACAATAATAGAATAATAAGAAGAACAATATAATTTTATACTAATATAATAATTAAATGATGAGCACTATATTTATCAGTCACAACACATCAAATTTGAAAATAGATTAACGACATGTTTCGGCTATTTAGCCTATTTAACCTATTTTCTGTGTTCATTCATTGCACTAATTCAAGCTCTGACATTCTCGTGACGGGTCACTAGAACACACAGAGACACTAATAGACGCCACTCAGAAAGAGACTTCAGTAGATCAACAGCGACAGCTGTGAAATGCTGATATGCAAGCGTTATCAAACCATACTGAGGTTTCTGTCCACTGCTGCCACGGCAAGCACACAGTGACGAGTTTGTGAACTTCATTGTCAGACCTCATACCAACCTTTTTATGGAAAATTTTCACCTGTTGGTCACATCTTCCATATTTTCTCAGAAGGGATCCCTTTACAAAGTATGTACGAATAAATTTGTAAAGAATCCATACATTTGGATACATGAGTAAGGGAATATTTATCATTATACTGCTTATTTAATGGGAATGTAGGATCAACAATTTTTCCGCATAAACAGGGCATTGTGGAGTTATGTTGCATTTGTGCCTCAGGGGTTCAGCTACCACTGGAAATGTACGAGCTTCATGCCACCTGTGATGGCACCAGCATCAGGCTTTGTTTACCAAGTGGACCAGGACTCAGGATGGTTAGTTAGGACCTCAGGAACTGTCCTGTCATGTTCCTGTCCCAGCTTGTGGTATGTACGGCAGCATGATCACTCCACCCAGACCCAGCTGTTACTGTGCTGTCCATTGGTTTGTCCTAATCTGAAATGTTTCTGTAACAGGTGTTCCAGCACCACTGGCTCAGGTGAGCAGCATCCCAGTCTCCGCTGAGATGAATAGTGACAGAGTTGTATGAGAGGCTGGTGACAGCAGGGATTCTTCCATATGGAAAAGCTGATGCAGATTGTAAAAACAAAGAAGAGGCTAATTCTACAAAACCTGTGGACTTCAGTCAGGCTGAAACATTAAATATGTAAGAATTTACAACTTTAACATCTGGTTTCTTCCTTCGGGAACAGTTGTGATGCTGAAAGACAAATGTGGTAGACCTAAATTGCTATAAACATCAGTTTCTGAATTCTGCTCTCTACATTGGATTCATATTATTAACAATCTAATTGTTATCATCGTGTTCACTTCCAGATGTCAGCCTGGTTTAGTGGCTCTCCTGCATTCTGGCATTCCCTGTAGCTCCTGTGGCATTTGTTTCCCTCCAGAGGAACGTATGAAATACAGGCAGCATTTGGATTGGCATTTCCGTCAGAACAGGCGTCTGAAGGACAGTGGTGCCAGTCAGAATAGAGGATGGTATTTTAGTGTCTCAGATTGGATGCAGTTTGAGGAGATTGAAGAGTCAGAGGAAACAGGTATGAGTTGCAATTCTTATGTAGATATGACATGGAGGACTGCATAGAAAATGTCTCCTTTGCCACAGGAACATCTTTACCGAACCGTTGCCTAGCAACACAAGGAGAGAGAATTAACCAAGCCTTTGTTTAGCAGTGATAGGGATACACATAGAGAGACAGACTGATGTCAGGGCTTAAGGAAGAGCACTGTGAGATGGGCTCAGGTGCCATGATGTGCATATAAAGTTTTGTAAAGACTGGTTCAGGCATTCAGAAATTAAGGGGGGGTGTATTCAGAGTTACACTGACAGATAAGTTGGAGAGATCTTATAACTCTACTTCAGGAAGGTAGGCAAAATGGCTATAAGGGGGTGATGTTGCAGAAATCGAACATAATTTCCCTGCAAGAATCTCTTGAGACCTACAAAAGTATCACAGTACTCATTGTCACGTAGATTGATTGTTGTCCTTGACATACACATGTAGAAAACCTGTATCACTTGCCCAGTTGTCCTCTGAGAGAGAGAGAGAATCCCCCCTCCCCCAATTACATAACCTGCAGATGACAGAAGAAGTTTGTCATAGCAATATACTGTTGACTGTTGAATGCATAAATGGGTGATCTCATGGATGAGGTATATGAGAAGATGTTTGAAGACAATGAAGCAGGGTATTACATTGGCAGAGAAAGGGTCTGGTTTGGTTGAAGCAGTCAGCAGTGTCGAGTTTTGCGTTCATGATCGGTGTCAGTGGTAAAATTGCCTTCTAGCCTGTGACTTACTGATGCGTGTGAATCAAGTAAAAGTAGTCGATTGAATAAATAAATTATTTAAACCATGGACAAATTGATTTACTTTTAAAATGAAGTCGAGTTGACTTGAATGGTACATTTCATGCACATGCTCCACTTCTGGACTTCATATAACTGACAGAACTGAGTTTTTATTGTTTATGTGTTGGTATCTTTGTTAGAAAAGCCATGAACACAAAAAGGCTAGTGTTTTTTTTGTCAGTAATTTCAGCTAATGGTAGGTTGTTGAGCAGTCATGTAACACTTAGAGAGTATGATCTTCTGGGTTGTAACACTGTGTTGTTCTGGGGAAGCCCAATGTTTCAAAGGAACACAACACCTCCATCTTCAGGGTTGAAGAGCAAGCTAGGAAGAAGCAGTCAGGTAGGCTTGCTTCATGTTTTTGCTGGTTTCTTGCTTCTGTCATGAAGCTGGAGGTATTATGTTCATCTGAAACCAACCACACTGCTTTACAAACCAGAAGCTAATACTGTTCATAAAGAGTGTATTCATATTCATCTTCTAGAGTGTAATGCCATTTAGTCTGTTGAAAGTTAACTGACAGTGGTTCGGAGGAATATGTCGCCTTTGTCTTCGGGTCAGAAAATAAACCAAACAAGAAGCCAGCTTGAAGCAGGTAGAGCTGCGTGCTGATTTCTGTTTATTAACAGTGACTTTTAGATTTAGACAAAGTCCTGACCATAGCATTAATGAGCTGCTGAAAGTAAGAGGTTTAATGCAGCTGTGTGGGTGATGACTGTTAATTTGAGATAGAGGTAGGTGAAAAGAAAATGCTGGAGTATGCACCAGCTTCTCTTATTACCCTTCAGAAAGTACTGTAATATCGGCATATAATTCTTTCTAATTTTGAGGACCGTGCTGGTTTTGAGTTGCAGAGGGCTGCAAACGTGGCAGATACGGAGGTTGAAGATGTTCCCAGTGTTTCTGCAGGAGAGAATCCTGATGACAAAATTTGCTCAATGTGTGCTGATAAATTCAAAAATGTTTTTAATGATGAAGAAGAAGAATGACAACTGCTTGGGGCAGTAAGAATAGATGGAAAGACGTTTCACCCCCTTTGCGGTGAAGATTACGAGGTTAGTATATTTGTTATGATGTTACTCTTACTCTGAGAGATGGAGAGGAACTGGGATAGCCTAGTTAGTCTTTCCCTGGCCTATGCCACCACCAGGTAATGGTCAATATCACAATCTGCTGCTCTGAATGATTGGACATCAAGTATACTTGAATGCCGTCGCCTATCTATGAAAATATGGTCGATTTGATTGTGTATCTTCCCATCATGAGATGCCCAAGTAAATTTATGGATGTTACGATGTGGGAACGTTGTACTTTTGACAGTAAGATTTTTTTATGTGGCAAAGTTTACTGCTCTAACTCCATTATCATTACTAATTTTATGCAAACTTTCATTCCCAATTGTTGGTTTGAAAATATCTTCCCTCCCTACTTTGGCATTGAAATCTCCTAGCAAAATTTTCATAGGGTACTTTGGGAATTTATCAGATACATGTTCTGGTTCTTCATAGAACCTGTCTTTTATGCCATCAATTTTATCTTCTGTTGGGGCGTGAACATTCATAACAATGATATCACACCAGCGACCTTTTAGTATCATATATGATATCCTCTCACTAACAAACTCTACCCTCTTAACTGCTGATGCAATTCTGTTATGTGTGAGAAAACCTGTACCTAATTCATGATTTTCATTCCCTTCTCCATAGAAAAATGTATATTCACCTACTGGTGCGATGCCACCTCCGTCCGATCTGGAAACACTGGCTGCATAAATTGCAGACAAAACAGAAGAATCAACAGATGGTAAGCTTAAATGCCATAATGTGTCAGGCTAATGTGAAAGCATACGTCTTAATTCCAGTATTTGATTTTTGAAAATCGAGAACACAACTAAGTGGAAACATGAAAGGAAACAACCACACTGAACAAACTTTTATATGGCATATGGATCTACTATAAGAAGAAAAGCAATTTATGGAAGTGATATTAGTATATTAGGATGATTTAATTTATAGGTCTTAGGTGCCCAAAATTTTAATTTTGTTCAGAGTACTGTCGATTTTACTTTGTGTCATAGGGTTACTCCTGTACCAGACTACTGGCACACCATCCCAGAACACATTAAGCTTCAAATCACTCTGTTGCCGAGTACAAACTGGAAATTGTTGCACAAAAATGATATTCTCATGCAAGTGTTTCTTCAAACCAGCTGTGTGCTATATTTTACTGATCTTGGTCTCACTTTGCACCTGACTGGCCGTGAAACTTTCTGCCAAATTCTTTCATAGCGGTTAAATATTTGCTAGTTCCCATCAGTTCTTTGGTTTTTGGTAACAGTGTTGTCACCAGGAGGTGGCATTGTTGTTTTAAAATGTTTCGGTAGAAAACTGTATAATTAATTTCTCCTTATGTTACTACAATTTTCCACAAAATGGTTTCCCATTTCTTTCATGCACTTTATATCTTATTCAGCGTATGTTTAGTATTGGGCAGTTTATAGCTCCACTTTTTTTAAAATTTAATTTTGTTTGAATGTTTATGTAAACCATGCAGTGGTTGTCTGTAGTATTAGTTCTTTTGGCGTTTTACATTCTGATGGTGCTAGATGTCAAGTTCAGCGTTCATATTCAGTTTGTACTGATCCAATTTTCTGTGACTTCCTGTATGATGGGGGGGGGTCAATATAATTTTGCTTTAATTAAATGTTTTTATTGTTATATATAAAAGTTTATAACCTTTGTTTGTGCAAATAAGTTTTGGAAAAGAATAAATATGTTTTACATGAAGACTACTCTCTTTTCTGGCTTCCCATCCCACATTAAATTTAGTTTAAGTGGTAATAGTTGTAGGAAACAAACACTATGATTTCTTGGTATTTCGTTTCTGAAAAATATAAATTTTACAAATTATTTAGTGGCCATTTTAATTTCATGGCTTTCTACATGCACTTGCACACAACCCCGTTGTAGAATATATATGTAACATGTATTTCAGAATCTGAGAATATTTTCTTTTGTTATGATTGGTATAATAATTACTAACTTAATGAATAGAAAGACTAAAACTCAGGTTCTTCTTGTTTACAGTAATCAACTTCATTTTTTTTTCAATTCATACTGACACTTCTTTCAACCATAAGTACAATTAACATGAAGTTCAAGAACACAATTGATTGCATGGCACTTCAGATAAAATACAACAAGAAAGATATGACTTTTGCACTAATTACAGTCATTGGATCTCACAGTATAATTTGTAGTTGTGAGGCCATTGTGGAAATGTTTGGTATACATGTATTAATTGCAGGAACATTTCAGATCCCATTCAAAACCAGCATAAAGTAAATTTCCATATTTTTGGAGCTTCAGTTACCATCATAACATGTCATACAAATCTGTCTTGTGCAATTTATCTTGAAGAAATGAGAAATTATCTGGCCTCACAAAGCCCTTCCATTTGAGGAGCTAGTTGGTCAACTGCCGAAACCGAGAGAAGGTCAGCATGTTTGCTAGACTTATTATTGTACCTTCATTGACCACAGATAGCACTCCCAATGTGTTTGGAAAGCACAGACTTTCTGTGGTACTGAAGATTTCTCTTTTGTCTGATGCTGTGTACATAACGTGTAGTCATCACCCCTCTCCTATCATACACATTGGGTATCACTAGGTCACTGAATGAGGTGAAGGCAAGAGCATTATTGTACCTGTTTTTCAAATGAATTTCTGTTTTGTAGGCCTACATAAGCAACAAAAGGAGAGCACGCTATTATCTTGTGTCTCCCATTCATAATGAAATCCTCACCGCATGCATCAACAAGCACAAAAGTAGTTCCTGTGACTCTTGATGTGCCCATTGATTTGATGACGTTTTGAATAATGGCATATGACATTCAGGGAAACCTTTGATGTCTGGATATTGCTTGAAAAGTGATTGGTGGACTGTAACCAGATAGCATGTAGACATCAGCAGGGTCTAACAAATAGTGCTTGGAAAACCCGGCCTATAGGATGCTTGCAGTAAAACATGCTGTTAACATGATTCAGAAGCCTGCATATTTTCGGTTTCAGACAGGCGTTCGATTAAAGTTAATGCAGGTACTTGTAGATGAAAAAATATTGCATGTGACATATTCGATGTATTTGTGACCAAAATCACGAAATTCCTGTTAGCTACATATGTACATACATTACAAACCAAGATACCGCTCTACTTCTGATCGGAGTAGCATAGCAGAACCTGATGAAAGCCGGAACAATTTTTAATTTGAGGTATATGTTTATTTTTTTATTGCTAGTGGGGTGGGACTAAGTCCCTTGTACTGCGGCCACTTCTGGCCTATTGTACCAGCCCCAGATGATAGGTGAGGGTGATTGTGGAGCAATTGGTGGAATGAAGATTGGCAGGGGAAACCGAAGTACTCTGAGAAAACCTACCTCAGCGCCACTTTGTCCACCACAAATCCCACTTGAACAGACCTGGGATCGAACCCGGGCCGCCGTGATGGGAAGCCAGCGACTAACCGCTTGAGCTGTGGTGAGGCCCAAGGTATATATCTGCATGAAGATAAAAAATACTGCACACTTAACATTCCGTTTATGAGTCAAATCGTAAGTCAAAAATTAGTACAGAATTACTGGGTTTTGGACTTTTTCCATTGTCCAGAAATAGATAATAGAGGACACTCTAGGTACTCTATCTAGATTTCCGGACAATGGGAAAAGCCCCAAAACCCAATAATTCTGTATGTCATCCACCATCGTCAGAACCCTCTAGAATCAAACGTTCATATTACGTACATAAACTAAGCTAAGCCTGTTAACTGCTCAGTTTTCTTTCCTCCCACCAAATGTGCAGTATGATATGGCATATTGTAAGCTCTTTGGCGATGATAGAATTTAATTCATTCCCATTTGTGATAGAAATGTTTCTTCTCAATTACATTTCAGAAAGGATTAGGCCCCTAGGTATAGCGCCTAAGTCAAGAGATAATTTTTTTACATGACGCATTTTAATTAATCCAGGCAACACATTTCAACAACAGTCAACATGTAAACAATGACCAATGTGCAGTTTCGCAGAGAGGAATAATGAACGTACCAGTTGCTTCCAGGGCCAACACAGAAATAAACGAATAAATTGTAGTATACCATTATACGATGTGGTTATGTAGAGGGGACTTCGTACATATAGTTTATAACACAACATGACGGTCCAACACAATATTCCAACGAATAAGTTCTTATGTGTGTCTTTCCAGATCTTCCTTGTTTCTTATCGCTGGTTTAATGTTCCTCGAACAGAATATAGTCCTATTGTCATATACTCATATGCATGTAAATGAATAATAAATAATAAGTAAATTAGTGAATTCTTCTGAGTCGCAGAATATTTAGCCCGGATATATGAAAGAGATAGATTTCCAAAACTTTGGAATTTCATTCTATATTTAGGTTGCTGGTCTTCATTAGTACCTGAGGCATTTAACATATTATATATATACAAATATTTGTATATATTGTCGCGTATCGGGCGTATATCGCGACAAATAACTTCACGCCGTATTTTATATAGCGAATTTTATTTCACATCCGCTCTTACAATCACCCAATTTACCGATTTACGATTACTGCAGTATCACAATTAGTACACTCCAAATACCAGAACACAACTGACTAGTTGCTGGCTAACTCGGAACTAACTCGGAGGTAGCTCGAGGACTCACTCGGCGGTAGCTCCAGGACTCACTGACTGACTCAGTACAACTGACTGGGAATAGCCTTCGCTGCTCCTTATGTAGCCTCGATCGGACAATACGGAAAACGGCCACGTAATAGGCACCCTTGTTGCCTGGCGCTGTGTTGCTAGTAACGCTAGCGGAAGTAACCGCTGTTACTACCGTAACAATCCTGTTGCGTCACCGTTACGTTACCGTGCGGAGGAGGGGGAGGGGAGCGCTGACTCACCCGCCGCGTCACTGCTGGTGGGGGGGGTTCTCCTTTGCGCAACATGTCACAATATGAATAAACCTTATTGTCATTACGAGGCTCTGTGAAATTGAACATTTATATCTTATTTGACGTGTAATTTGACTTTGGGATGATTTGACATCGACTATTCCATACTTTAGTAACAATACAATGTATTTATATGTAGAATGTTTGTTGCTTAATATTCTAATAATTTTCAATATATTTCTAAAAGATTCAACTGTGTTTGGAATTTTCCACTGACAATTACTGTATATAATATTCTATTGGGATATTTGGTAGAAGGTGAAGTAACACGTTTTATTGAAGTGATATACCTCTATTAAAAGTGTTAACATACAACATCAGTTCCATGAAGATATACACCAAATATGTAGAACATGAGATGTTAAAATTTCTCATGCAACATGAAAGTACCTCCATTCTGCACACACTGGCAGATTCACCAGTGGAGAGGGTACATTAAAAGTTCAGCCCGGTTGCATTCATGCAGAATAAGTTCATAATATACAGTTTCATATAATACAACACAACAAGAAGTACCTTTGTATTTATTGCTATTTTTCTTGCTGAGTGCAATAATGTGAATACATTCATACGGATAGAAGTAAAAGTTCATATAGGAATACAATCAGTTGAAGCTTTTAACTGGATTATGGTTTTGAGATAGTTAAACCTTGGGCCTCCATTCAAAGCAATAATCTTGGTGTTTTGCTGAGTTCTGTTGTTTTTACAAGCAAATATTTATTGCATATTTAATTGGAACAGCGTAAAAATTTTCATCTTAAATTTAGTTGATATCGAATAGAGAAATGTGGTACTCCAAATTAAAGTAATTATCAAATATCTTTTTATATTTTATATTATACTAAGGCAGTCCGGAAAGTAAAGATGGTTTGTGCATAGCATAACGTGGGTAGCCATGAAGGCGTGAAGAAGATTGTTAAAGAATAGTTCATTGGACGGTGGCAGATTCTGCGATGCAGGCTTACAGAAACTCCTCATATGATAGATATATGTACTATGCCTGAATCTTGATGAGGATTATGTAAACGAATGATTTAAAGTCTGCAGCAATGACATAAAATACAATTTTTTAATTAATTTATTTTTAAATCAAGAAACAATCTTTACTTTCTGGATGACCTGCGTGCATTCTATCTTAAATATTTATGAGCCAAATATTTTTTTTTTTGCTTTAGACAGCCGTTTAAATCGAGACCTATTTAAAGTCTGTACATACACCTAATTTATTTCGGGCAGGAGACCTCATGCAGACGAAATTGAATATTTTACTCTAGAACAAAATTAGGCCTGTGTATATTAGAATGAATTGAATGGTGTGAAGTGTATTTAATAAATACAAGTGAACTCACTTTAAAAATTGAGTGTTATTATGTTTCACCTCCCTACACATTTGTTTTTGACAACGTTATTTTAAAATGATGGCTGATTGTTTTCGTTTCTCAGTTTCTAGTGCGTAAAATTATTTTCGGAAAGCCACAAATTGGTATCATCATATTTATAAAACTCCCAGCGTCGTTGTTGGGCGTCTCTTCATTTCTTAAAAGCCATTTATGTTAGCCAGACTGTCCAGGCAAGCTTCAATATCTTTGAAGATTTCTGTTGGATCCCTTTCCGCATTTATCTGTAGGGAAAAACAAGATGGGACACAATTATTTTACCCTTAAAGAACTTGAAGTCGGATATAGCTTGTTACTGTTATAGTTTATTTAACCACACTTTATCGACTCAGTATTTTGATAACGTTGGATGGTAAGGAACTTGTGAATGTTGAAATGAGAGGGACGAAGAAGGAAGCTGTGCCTCACACGAAGGAACTGTAACAAATTTCTCCTGGCTAGAGTAAGAAGAAAATATAAGAGAAGCAGGACTGATGGTTTTCATTTCGAGATTCGAAGCGGACACATCAGAGTGCTTTTCAGTGTCGGAGTGAGCCCCAAGCGCATATGAATATGAGGACGTGAGGGGACTCTTAACCGTTTTGGGATCGAATCCCGGCTACTAAGTTCTGTCATACAACAGTCACGTAAAGGCGTAGAATAAATAACACGATATAAATAAATAATTTATACTATTTGAATACGACTGGAGCATGAGCTTGATCTCAGCTGACTAGTGTCAGAGGGAGTGCCAAATCCTTATGTATGATTTCAGTGGATTTGACTTGTCTTTGCACATGCTAATGCTGTAAGAGCCGATCACAGTGGCCGCAGGGTCCAAGGCATGGATTGTCTTTGCTCGCTCGAATATTGGGATCATGGGTTCGAATCCCACTCGAGGCATGGATGTCTATGTGCATTTATTCTGTGTTTGTGTTACTCTGTGTGTAGGTAGCGGCCTTGCTACGGACTGATCCCCCGTCTAAGGAGTTCTACTAACATTTTATATAGGATTAAGGAACTGAAAAGGCGGTCAAGGTCCAACAAAAGGCCATAGATAGATATAAATATAGATGGATGGACGGACCAACGTACAGACGGATAGGTAGATAGATAGATAGACAGACTGTAAGAACACAAAAAACAAGGCGTTTGACATTTTTTAATTATGCAGTTTTTTAAGGAATATTGTTGCAAGTTGAGATATTTTTTCTTCTCAGTCGGGAATTAAACTCCGATATCGGGCCCTTATTACTGATGTGACCGGACACAGTAACAAAAATTCATGCATGAAGTGTAAAGCCGTAGGATCGTGGCCTTCGTCAATGTAATTTTTTGAACTAATACCAAGAAACTTAATCAGAGAAAACAAAACTTGTCTGATATCGGAATAAGCCACAAACAGTGCTTAATATAAGGTAATTTTGATTTATTGGCCACATAATTTCAGAAATAAAAGTCAAAGAATTGCCCTACTGAATTTGTAAAACAAATGAGCATGAGTCAAAGTACATTCCTTTCGTCCCTAGTTCAATTCTTGTATAAGTTAAAATTGCCATATTCTATATACCTGTCTGGGGATCAGATTTTGCCACATTTCACTCAAGTCTTACAGAACCAAAGAGTTTTATATAGACGTCTCAAAGGATCAATGAAATGCGAAATGAAACCGGAAGTATATGCAGAGCGGAAACAGAAAGAAAGGCGGAAGGAGGAATGTAGCAGCTCACTCACCGTCTTACATTTGTTGGAGAAGTGTTCAATGACGGGTTTGCTGTGCTTGCTGAACGTGTCCAGGCGCTTCTTGATGGTCTCCTCGTTATCATCTACTCGCCCCGACGTTTGAGCTCGATGGAGTAGACGTTTCGTCATAGTTTCAGGGCTAACTTCGAAGTTGAGGATTATGGTGCATTCAGAAATCTGCAGGGGAAAATGGGAGCATATAGATTTGCTTCATTATGATTAACGGGGTGAATTAATATAATAATTATTGTAGGTGTATTCGAACCGCCTCTGTGGTATAGTGGTCAGCGTTCCTGACTATATATCCAGAGGTCCGTGTTTGATTCCCGGCGCTACCAAATTTTTTCTGAGAAGTAGTGGGTCTGGAACGGGGTCCACTTAGCCTCGTGAGGATAATTGAGGAGCTATTTCAAGGAAATAGCGGCTCCTGTCTATAAATCCGAAGTTAACGGCCGTGGGGATTCGTTGCGATGACCACGCGACACCCTCTATCCGCTAAAGTTGGCATTAACTTCGTCGACAAGCGGCGATCGCTCGGTCGGTATAGTTCGTTTATGGACAAAAATCGCGGAGTTTGTACGTGTATTTACGTCCCATAGTTCTTACGATTCCACGGGTTTGTAACACACAGATTTATTTTACGGAAATGAATAAACGTGGTATGTTTAGGTATTTTCTGTGACACTATAGTGACGTAGACATGTCAGCCTAGTTCTAAGCCTTTTATTATCTAGAAAGTAATGCACACTCTCTTGAGGGCAATATCCTCGGTTCACTGTAGGAAATCATAGACGTAGGCACACGTGTCTTATGTATGAAATTACGAACAGGGAATAATTTCATATCTGTTTCTAGAACAATTAGATAGAACTTTATGTAGAAGGTATTCATCGTTGCTTTATGATCTGATTGATTTATTATTATATATAATTCATTTTTTCAGGAACTGTGTTATTCTTGAAAGGGTTGGAACTTGCAGTCATGCATAATTATATATACTGTTCAGAACACCGGCCACACAGTATATTTTCANGGATAGTCTCTTTCCAAAAACAGAAGATCGCATTAAGTGGAGAAACTGTTTTGGAAGAGACTGTGGACCTGTCGTCTGACAGATTACTGATGATGATGATGATGATGATGTAGCTGTTCTGGAAAGAAACTCATATGCAGGTGAAATACAGAATGACCCAGAAGTCAGTGGAACGGTTAGTAAAATGTGCGTTAAAATACATTAGAAATTTTATCGTTACTTACTGAATTTACATAAATTGTTCGAAATGAGATCCTCCATGTCCAATGTACAGCTCAACGCTGTGATACTGTTCTACAGATTGACTGGCAGGTTTAGAACTGAATATTTCCGTTAATACGAAGGAATATTTTAGGTTAATTGACTTTTATGCCTCTGTACTTTTGCTATCTACGTTAAGCGTGAACACAGACTGAAAAGGGCCGTCCAATCGTTCTTGCACGCCATCACTTACTTGCTTCTCGAATGTGAGGCCCTGTTCCAGTTCTCGTGGGTAGCCGTCGATAAGGAAGCCTTTTGACGAAGTTACATTGGCAAGCATGGCTTCCGCAAGGAGTCCCAGAACTGCGTCCTGTAACGGAGATGGAGTAAGCATACACGCTCTTAAATGAAAACAGGAAGAAACGTCTTCAGTTGAATCTGCTCTCGAAGAACGTGTCTTTTAGACACGCCATTTGTCATGTATACTTCCTTGGCCTTGATCTTCATTGTATCCGGTACCTTAAATTTATGTGAGTTGTAGCTCAACACGACCTATCGCAGTGGCCGCGCGGTATAAATCATGAAGTCTTCTTACACCAGGCATGGATATTTGTGTATGTGTTTATTCTGTGTGTGTGTAGCGGGTTTGCGACGGACTGATCACTCGTCCAAGGAGTCCTACCGTCTGTGAAAAAAAGATTATGAAACTGAAGAAGAGGTCAGGGTCCAACAAAGGGCTGTAGAGCCATTGACAAATGAATGAATAGGTGAATGTTATAAAGCAAAACAATGTGGTTCCTATATGCTGTGACGTTATGATTGTATCCAGAGCAAAATATTGCGATTTCATTTTTCTTTCGTTTTTAGGCATTTTTTTTTTACAAAATAAAGGAAAGAAAGGAAAGAACGACGTGTGTGAATGCGATGTTTGTCCTTCTGTCTGTAATCTAGCATGAGAACCTAAACTGTTGAGCACTTTTTCTTATTTCACACTGGAGACATCCACTAAAAGTTGTCGTATAATTCCGATTTTCAGCCATACTGATCCATAACGAAGACAGATGCATAGCTTTAGATGGCCGGTCTTTCTTTTAGCCCTATTACCTGATTACATAAGGGCACAAGTAAACTTCCTTCTGCGTAAACCGTTAATATTTTTTTTGGTGAAATTTGGTAAGAGAGACCTTTGCATAGCCTAAGTCAGTCATTTTGATTTTTATTGCTCAACACATATATTTGTGAAATCCATCTTCTGTTGTCTTCCAAGATGAACGCTTAATTAAGCTTAATTTATTGAGTTGTGTTCCCGTATACGTAGATTTGTGCCCACATAGCACAGAGATGTGCAGATTTACAGACAATTTCTTTTCATCTGACCCCTTTCAGCCATTAAGTTACTTCAGAAATAATTTTATATGCGAAGGGTCCAGAGAACCTAATTCCTGGTAGCCGAAGGGCAAACTGTATTTAACGTTCACTTAACATCAGAATTTGATATTTGTCGTCAGTCTTACTAATGCAGTTTTTGTAGTTGTGTCGACGGTTTTGTCTACTGCCATGCTGTCACGTGTTCATTCACAATTTCACTATATATACAGCATGAGGCAGTAGCCGCGAAACCATCGAAACACTACGAAATTTGCTGTCATAAGTCTGACAGTACCCTCCAAAGGTGTCTCCACCTTGTCGTGGGGCTTGCGTGACTCTGACCCGGAGAGCTATGCCGGAGGTACGTGTAGTTTAACTGCCGGTAGGGTCANGGAGAGCGATGCCGGAGGTGCGTTTAGTTTAACGGCCGGGAGGGTCACCCATGCCGGGGGGGGGGGAGAAAAAAAAAGGGTAGAGTCCAGACTAAGAGAGATACCTTGGTCCTCCAGTTTGGAGGAATTTTGTTCAGAAACCTAACAACCAGCCTCGGATAAGTGGAACATATGAGAAACGAATTAAGCAAAGGACAAGGAGCAATGATATTACAATGGCAACTTGGAATGTACGCACGATGCTGCACCCCGGAAAGATGCAGGAAGTAGCCCAAGAAATGTTACACTACAAAATTAACATTATCGCAAGATGGCAAGGAACCGGCAGAATAGATGAAACAGAATTTACTATAATGTACAGTGCGTCACAAGAAGGAACCGTTCAGTTTGGAACAGGGTTTATGATAACAAGAAAAATAAAAGAAAGTATGCTGGAATACGAAACAATTACTGATAGAATCTGTAAGTTAAGAACGAAAGGAGATATAGCAATATTATAATAATATCAGTGCATGCCCAACGGAAGATAAAGAAGGAAGAGAGAAAGAAGAGTTCTGTGAATGTTTAGAGGGAACCTATCATAAAATTCAGAAGTACGATTTAGTAATAATAATGGGAGACTTCAACGCAAGGATAGGGAGAGAAGAGTATCAAAATAAAGCGGCAGGAAAATACACAATACACGATATCAGTAATGAAAACGGTAACTCACTAGGACAGTTTGGTACCAGAAATGGATTGAAGATAAAAAGCACAACATTTCCGCAAAAAATTGTACACCCAGGAACATGGAAAATGCCAGGATCAAATGAAGTTAACGAAATAGACCATGTGCTGGTGCCGTCAAGACAGCAGACGTGAAGAGCAGCAGAGGACCAAACTGTGGTTACTTGGTTACTTGGTCAAAATTAGAGTAAGAGGAAGAATTGCCAGTGTACAGAAGTTGGAAGGAATGAAGCCAAAGAAGTGGGATGTACACAACTACAGGAAAACAAGGAAATAAAATAAGAACATCAGAGGAAAATTGAAGAGAAAATAAGAGAATGCAAAGAAGAAGGAAACGTAGAGGAAAATGGGAAGAGGATAGGAAAGGTAATAAAGGAAGTAACAGATGGGACAGTGGGCAAAGAAGGAAATCAACGTCATAATGTATGGTTCGATGAAGAGTGCGCAAAAGTAATATCAGAGAAGAACGGTGTTAGAAAAGGAATGCTACAAGAAGAAACAAGAGCAAACTGTGAAATATATCAAGAATTAAGAAGGAAAGCAAATTAGAACACGTAAGAAGAAGAAAAAGGAAAGAATGAGGAAACAGTTAGAGGACGTAAATAAATTTAAAGATCAGAATTAGAGAAGAGAATTTTACAGGGCAATAGATAAACTAAAAAGAGGATTTCAACCAAGAAGTAGAAACAAAGACCGTGAAATAATAAGAGAAGAAGGGAAAGTACTACAGCGATGTGAAGAATACTTAAAAAACTACTAAACATCGAAAAAGAAAATGAAGAAAGGGAAAGGAATGAAAACAAACAAGAAGAAATAAGAACAGGAAGAACAACAACAGACGAAGAAGACGAAGAGGTAAATACAGCAACACGTGAGGAAACAGGAGAACGTATTCAAAAAACAAAGAATAATAAAGCACCAGGAGAAGACGGTACAACAGCAGAATTGAGCTCTTGTGAACATATTACTTGCCGGTCACGGTAGCCGAGCGGTCTAAGGCATGCACAGTCTTCGCTCGCTCGGAAGCCGGGATCGTGGGTTCGAATCCCACTCAGGGCATGGATGTTTATTGTGCGTTTTTCTGTGTTTGTGTACAAGTAGAGACCTTGCAACGAGCTGATCACCCGCCCAAGGAGTCCTACCGAATGGGTAAGATCTAGAAAAACCGAAGTGAACGGAGAAGTTCATGGAGGTAGGCCTAGGCCCACTGGGGCTGTAGTGCCAAAGGGGGGGGGACATATTACTTATCCTACGGTTTCCATAAAAATGCTGGGAATTTCTTAACAAACTGAGTAACTATTAGCTTTTCAAGAAGGATTCTGCTTGATGGAGTTAGTATACTAGGAGGAGATGTCCAGGAAATTTAAACGTAACAGCTAATTGCACCTACCAGAGGTACGAGTTCACCCTGTTCCATAATGGCGTTGAGTTTCTGTCCCCGCCCGGAGCCTGACTGTACCTCACTCCGCAGCAGGTCTCCTGTAGACAGGTGGGTGAAGCCATACTTTGCCACGATCTTGTCGCACTGTGTGCCTTTGCCGGAGCCTGGCCCACCTGTGTGTGACACATCGACAGACAGCGCTGACATCGCGACCTTAAAGGACCGTACAGATTGGTATGGATACCGCGAAAGTTACTAAACTACCAAGATCAGCGTGCATGTAGGCATGGGTATAAAAGCCACAAAAAAGTAAAAAGTAAAGCTATCCCTGTAACAGGCCGTTGAGGCACATAGGGTTGTGAGGTGTTGAGGTTCCCACATTCTCTCTAGACAATCGGCTCATGGATGGCGGTAAGGTTGTCAGCCTTACGCGCCGGCCGCCCTTTACACCCCAAGAATATTCCTGGTACTCATTTCTGTTAGAGGCTGAGTCGACCACAGGGCCATAGTGCGGCTGGAAGGATTAGGTAAATTGAAAAAAAAAATCAAACTATCTCATCGGGACTCGAACCCGCGACCTTCTGGCTTGTAGCATAGTGCCTCAACTAACTACGCTACCACGTGCCCCTAGGCATGGGTGTAGTCCTAAAAATAAAAATCGCGGGACGCTTTGGCACGCAGTTTCGGATTGAAACATATAGGTATGAATCGTGATATGAGGCCGGTCTTTTGTTAAGTAATGAAAGCTTTCCACCTTTTAAAGCAGAATTGTACCACAAAGAGCTCACGACACGCACACAGCCTAATTCAAGAGGCTCACGCTTACATCCCAGACAGAGCGGAAATTAAATAACCTATAATTAATTTTTGTATTTGACATAATTCTTTCTAAATACCACCAGAACGGCGTCCCGCATTAAAGAAAGCTTCGGGGAGCACTAGATCGACTAGAGCTCTGCTTATAGAGTTATAGTTATAAAAGAGAGAGAGAGAGAGATATGAGAAAAGTAGATGAAAAGGTCAGTTGTAAAACTTCTGAACATGGGAACTGGCTTTACAGCAAATATTTGAATTGGAAGAAGATGATGAATATTTTAAAGTGAAACACGTTAGTGGCATTGTAATTTTACATCAAAATATAATTTGTTAATACTGTAGAAACTGAGTTAAAGTTATACACTTTACGAAGAAGCATAGTCATAATCAGGTAACCTTGTCAACAAAGTGTGTTCACATAACTGACGAATATTGTCTTTGAAATTTCCGATAGGATAGTATGGAGAAATATTCTTTCACACTAAATGCACCCGCATGGCGGTGAGGCTTGCCCAGATGTCAGGTGTAAACGGGAGTAATGCCGATGTTGGGAATATGTGAAAAATTTATCACATTTTAGTAAAATTCTCAGTAATAATATGTAGTTATCGATCTTTTTGTAACAACATCCTATTTTAGAATTTCTTGATATTTGTAATATTTATTTTGCCATAATTAGACCTACGTCTAGGGCAAAAAATACACTGTGAATATAATTTATGAACATGTCATCTCGAATTTTGGATATTAAATGATCAGCGAATTTCTCAGAAGGACATCGTAGAGACCGTTTTATGTGCCCATATAATATGACAGTACCGTTTTATAAGACGACCAGGANAAGTGACAAGAAGACGAGGAAGAAGACGTAAGAAGATGCTGGATGACCTTGGGGACAGAAGAGGATACTGTCATTTGAAGGAGAAAGCTCTAGATCGCATTAAGTGGAGGAATTGTTTTGAAAGAGACTGTGGACCTGTCGTCTTGACAGATTACTGATGATGATGATGATGATGAATTAGACCTACGTCTAGGGCAAAAAATACACTGTGAATATAATTTATGAACATGTCATCTCGAATTTTGGATATTAAATGATCAGCGAATTTCTCAGAAGGACATCGTAGAGACCGTTTTATGTGCCCATATAATATGACAGTACCGTTTTATAAGACGACCAGGATGAGAAATTATGATGTGCGCATGTGCATAGCCAGTTCGCATGCTAACAGGAAGGAAACAGCTCTGTATGTACCCGTATGTACGTGTATGCGGTTTCGCAGTATATTCTAAACATGCAAGCTACTTACCCAGTACCCATATGATAGGCAGTTTTGATTCTCTAAGTGGAGTTAAGTCGTATTCCTTCCTTTCAAGTTGAGTAGCCTGAAAACAATGACAGCTCTACGTTAACTCTGAGGAGAGTTCATCCAATTACATTTGCGATAAAGCTGACGAGTTCTAATGGATGACATAAACGTACATGATATATGACCGGCTACAATGAGCATTACAGACAGCGTTTTATATATTCGAATATTGTCCATAAACTTAACATATTATTCATTATGATTAAATTCACCGTTTGGAATGAGGAAACATTTGCCGTTTTAAACTACTTTCCTAAAATAAGCATATGCGATCTCCACGCTGTCTGTGTATCCCTTCTATTACCTTTTGAATGCCTGAACTTAGCTTTATGAAAGTTGGTAAGTATATCATGCAACCTTAAGCCATCTTAACAGCGTGCTTCATAAATCTTTCCCATCAGTCTGTGTGTCTGTATGTGTACCTCCTATCTTTGCTAAGCAACGGCTCGATAAAACCGTTACCGCAGCAACGAATACACATGCAACAGTAGAAGAATTGTTGAACGCGTCGTCTTCTATACGGTTCATGTATCAAGGAAAACAGGCGGTTAGTTCTTCTCAGAACTTCTTGTTTAATATATCTTATGTAAGAACCTAAGTCTACACACAGCACATTAACGAATAAAATATTAGCTTAGTACTGGTGTAAATGAATTTTAAATTATAAGATTATTTGCTACGCCACGGATCACCAACTTTATGCCCACAGATAACTTTTTCCCCCCGGAAAAGATCTTTTGTGCCCGCTAGAGTTTCACAGTATTCATAATAATTTCGTAAGTGTTCGACTGCTAGTCATGAAGCGTCTGGAATTTGCATTGAATGAACGGAAACGTTTTCCAGCGTTGAGGATGAGCGTGTTATGCTCATATCGCATTGCTTGAGGGCTTCGTGTCTACATAATTGCAACATTTCACAGACCAAAAAAGTATTTTTTCTTTGGTACTTTATGTAAAATTGAGTGTACCGAATCACCACTTTGGGAAATGATATGATGGGTGAACACGAGGAGTACAGCTATTCATAGTTTAATTATTTACATTTACATCTTTTTCTATAAATACATTGGCTTCTACTAGTTGTCCCAGACAGATAACCCCTGCACTGTGCAACAATGGAAAGTAGTGAAGTATGCAGCATATGATACGTTGTTGACTGTATGTTTTTTAAAACCGTAGTCGCATTAGCTTTTAAAGAATTATGTTTCAACTAATTTTATTATAAAGGTAAAAGGTAAAGTTGTCCCTGTGCTTAACTAATTAAGCACTACGCCATGAAGGCGTATGGGGAAGTGGGTGTATAGATCTACGTTTTCTTGACCTCGGCACTAGATGGAGGTGAGTGGTCAGCTTCACGCTCAGGTCACTTTACCCCCGGGGAAATATCTCCGGTACCCATTGGATAGGAAGCTGTGGGGAGGGCCCCAGAGCCGGTCAGGACGATGTGGATGAGAGAGAATTCTTGACCATACTCGGACTCGAACTCGGACCCCTCGGTCGTCCAGCTCGTAGCCAGTCGCTATACCGACTGCGCTATCCCGGCTCCAATACGTGTATTACATGTGACAAAATAAAATGTTTTATAACTTAATATTGCATTAAATTCACAATACTTTCATTCTGTTTTATTTGTTTGAGTTTTATTTGCCATGTCATGATCGGAGCGTTTGGTTACGGAGTTCAAACAGGAAAGTTAATCATTATCTGAGCTTTGTATGTCGTTGTGGTAAGTAAAGTAAAAGGTAAAGCTATCCCTGTACCAGGCCGTGAAGGCCCATACGGTTGTGAGACGTTGAGGGTCACACATTGTCTAGACAATCGGCTCATAGATGGCGATGATTTAAGAACCACTGTTTACAAACTAATGCTTCCGCTAGCTGAATGAGTAGCGAGATGTGAAAAAGCCGGCCATTCCTCTGAAAGCATTTTCATGCAGTTCTACGATATATTATAATATTTGAGAATGCAGATGAGTTACAGTATTCTCCAGTCATTGCTTTTCAGGTTACAGTCATTAACTTCAAGACGGTTTGGCTGGAGCAAAACGAAACATTGCATTCTGGTGAACATGAGGCTATAAGAAAGTAAAGTAAAAACCAAAGAAAGTTGGAGCAGACTTATACTTGCTTATTGAGCTGAGCCCTTCTTGAGGAGCCGCCAAATCTGCAGCTATTCAAGAATTTCTCAGCATTTTATGGAAACCCGAGTGTTCATTACCGTGTTCGCAAGAGCCCTCCACTGGTCCCTATCCTGAGCCAGATCAATCCAGTCCATACCATCCCATCCTATCTCTGTAAGATCCATTTTATATTGTCCACTCGCCTACGCCTTGGTCTTCCCAGTGGCCTCTTTCCTTCTGGTTTTCCCACCAATATCCTATACGCATTCCTCGTCTCCCCCATTCTTGCTACATGCCCTGCCCACATCATCCTCCTTGACGTGATCATTCTAATTATACTTGGAGAAGAGTAGAAGTTATGCAGAGTTATATCACATTTATGTACTTGATTAGTTATCTGGAATTCTTCTACTGTCGCATTGTTTAAGACATTGCTTAACTGTAAGAATTTGCATTTCTGATATTGAAAATACCTTTTGAGATTAAGAAATACGAAGTTCTAAGTCATCGTTTGTGTCTCATAAAAACCTTATTACAAAAGAAATCTGATAGAAATGTCAGCAGAAATGTGTTCCTTTGAACCACAACAGCTGTGCCATTGTGTCCTACGAGTGAGGTAGAATAAAAAGGATAATTTAAATCTTTAATTTCTTATGAAATTTACTGGGAAATAATCAAAACATCAGCATGCCAGAAGGTTAAAATATATTGCGTTTCGTGTAAACATTTGGTCCAGCAAAATATATTAATATGTTTGAAGGCTTAAGACAAAAACAAAATCTATCCTTCACATCACATGTAAATATTTTGTTAACTTGCTCTGTTGCAAATTTGTTTGTCTCACAGTGGAGCCACCTTCAGGGTTCGGAAATAAATTACAGTTGATATTTTCATTTAAAGACTTGTAGTTTGTAGGATCTGATTTCCAGAGTTTACTCTTTAAAACTTGATATTTAAAGCAGAAAATAAAATAAGTACTTTAATTTGGAACGCATTAATTCGTTACAGAAACTGACATGAGTTAATTTGTTCATAAGAATCTTACATACAATTACGAATTGCATACTTTTAATATTCATTTGCAGTAGTTGTTGGTAGAGAGTGCGTTCCGAGTAATCAAGTGTGTTGAATAAAAAAAGATTGTAATTTCTCTTTAATTAATTTTATACCTAATGCGTAGTGTTAAAAAGTTTAAGTTTTATTTTTTAGTTCACTTAGTTGTGGGTGGAGTCCAGTTGGGTCCACTCGGCACGGCGGCCACTGATTGGCCTATTGTACCTGCCCCGGGTGATTATGATGATGGAGAATTTGGTGGAATGAAGATTGGCAGGGGAAACCGAAGTATACTCGGACAAAGCCTGCCCCAGCGCCACTTTGTCCACCACAGATCCCACTTGACCAGACCGGATATCGAACCCGGGCCGCCGCGGTGGGAAGCTAGCGACTAACTGCTTGAGCTGTGGCACGGCCCTTTCAAGTTTAAGCTTAATTAATATTTAGAAAATGTTTAAGTAATTTTTTTATAAATGAAAAAAATTTAATAAATATATCAGTTACTCTATCCCTTTATCGTCGAGAAAGTTTTCTGAACTAACTCGACTTACTCACCAGACACAAATTAATAACTTTGCTTCGGAATATCATACATACTGTTGGTTTGAATTGCTTATGATACACTGCTGTTTTTCCATTTCCTACTTTGTCTTTGCTTGAACATCTAAAGAGGGCAGGATAAAGAGAAATGTTCTGGTAGAATACAAGGCACAGGTTTCAAATCAAAAAGTGAAAATTATTTCACGGCTTCGAAATTGAAAATTTGGCTGATACAATATTTTGCTTCTCTTAACTAAAGTTTTATAATCTTGGCATATTAAAGACACTTAATGAATACCCAGTATCGAAATGTGTTTGCTATGAGTGAATACTACGTTTTTATTCTTTGAACTTAAACGATTTGAACCACGTGACAATAAATGAATACTTACCATAATATATCAAGTCGTGTTTGATTTTCTTGACGTGCAGTGTATGCGTTTCACCTTTCACTTTCCGAACTTTAATGTGCACTGATCCTAGAATCTCGAGTGCTTGATCCTGATGTTACTATAGGGAATATAAGCAAAATACTAGTAAAAATAAAGCTGGGATGCCAGCGAGCTATATTTGCCGCGGCAGTTGGCAGGATCGCATAATGAAAGGCTAGATTGTGTCAAGGCTGAGGCGCACTCTATGGAAATAATGAAACAAGAATGTCGTAAGAGTGTTGGATGTGGTGAGCCAGACAAGAATTGGGACGCGCGGGAGCAACGGTGCAGGTTCCTAAGCTGAGTGCATATTTTTAGATAGACAGCTGTTGATATCACTAGCTCAGCGAAAGGAGATGCATGTGTCGAAAACTACTCAGTGTATTCACAAATGATATTTGAGAAAAACTGACAAGAAAATGCTCTACTGAAAATCCTTGTTGATATTTGATTTCGGGAAATAATAATTAAATTTGTTTAAAAACCAACGTATGTAATTAACCATAGATTTATGAAGTAGGGGGGGACACGCCGTAACGTAATGGTTGAGGCACTATGCTACAAGCCTGAAGGTCGCGGGTTCAAGTCTCGATGAGGTCATTGGATTTTTTTCAATTGAACTAATCCTGCTAGCCAGAATGTGGCCCTGGGGTCGACTCAGCCTCTAACAGAAATGAGTACTAGGAATTAATTAAATAATTTTCCTGTTACAGGGATAGCTTTACTTACTTACTTTTTTATGTGAGGCCGCGCCATAGCTCAAGCGGTTAGTCGCTGGCTTCCCACCGCGGCGGCCCGGGTTCGATCACGGGTCTGATCAAGTGGGATTTGTGGCGGACAAAGNGTTTTCTCCGAGTACTTCGGTTTCCCCTGCCAATCTTCTTTCCACCAATTGCTCCACAATCACCCTCACCTATCATCTGGGGCTGGTACAATAGGCCAGAAGTGGCCGCAGTACAAGGGACTTAGTCCCACCCCACCAGCAATACAAAAATAAAAAAAAAAAACTTTTTTATGTAGTAGGTCGCTGCTCACATTGGTCGCGCGATCTTCTGTTCTCAAACATTCAGATCGTGGGTTCGAATCCTACTCGATGTGTGGATGTATGCCTTTATTCTGTGTTTATATTACCCTGCATAGGTAGGGGCCTTGCGGCAGGCTGATCTCCCGTCCAAGGAATTCTACCGACTGTCTACAAAATTAGAAGAGACTGGAATGAAACGGTGGAAAACTCTCATGGATTCCCATGTTCCAGAGAGAGCAGTGGGAATGTTCGACTTTTATGGGCGTCTCCATTTCTTTTAACTTCACCAATTGAAACGTATTCTTTAATATCAACGAAGAAATATGTAGTCTATGTGCGTCGGGGTGGGTGAGGCATTCATCTCTCAAGACGCGCGTGCGTAGTATTGTGTCTATGGCAGTTGATTAGCCTGTCACATCAGTCACTCTCCTGTCTGAATGAATGCGAGACAATGTGCTTGTTGCTTGTTGCTTGTTGCTTGTTGCTTGCGCATTGCTTACATACGTGTAGCAGGTCTTTGTTTCCGAAGTTAGAGGCAGCATGTTCCTACAGAACGTCAGTGGAGAACTTCAAATTCAACTAAGAGATCATAAATTACCATTATTCATGCCTTAAAAGCATACGATAGAACGAAACGGGCCAAATTACGGACCAGTCTAAGCAGTTATAATGTACTGGTAAATTTACTGAATGCATTACAGTCATGTATGAGAGCGTATGTACTCTAATGGGGGGAGTGGAACACAAAATCGGCATGGGAACACGGTTAACAGTTATGATAAGGATGAGGACTGTTCCCACGGTCCATCTAGCCACATATAAACAGAGTGCCGGAGGAAGGAAGGTAGATGCTACCAAAGTAATATGCCCGGGAAATAAGAAATTTAGTAACTAAAAATTATTTGCTGACGTCAAAGTATTTTTGCGAAATAATGAATATGATGTGCAACAAAGACAGGCATATGTCATGACAATATCAAACAAGACCGTCTCTGTGTTCTAGTGGTCAGAGTTCCTGGCTACAGAACCAGAGGTTCCGGGTTCGATTCCCGGTGCTACCAGTTTTTCTGAGAAGTAGTGTGTCTGAAACGGGGTCCACTCAGCCTCGTGAGGATAACTGAGGAGTTACTTGATTGGAAAAGTGGCGACCCCGGTCTAGAAAACTGAGGTTAACGGCCGTGGGGATCCTTTGCGCTGACCACGCGTCACCCTCTATCCGCTTAAGTTGGAACTAACTTCGCCGACAAGCGGCGGTCGCTCGGTCGGTATAGTTCGCTTGCGGACTAAAGCCACGGAGTTTGTATATCAAACAACGGAACCAAAGCCGTGGAAAGGAACGGTGCATAAAATGAATAAGTATCTGTGTGAAAATTCTGAGAAATGTAATAAATAAAATGGAATTAAAAGAAGATTTTAAAAAGCCGTGAGATTGCGCGTTGTGCTTTTGTGTCGCGATGTATGGCAGAGGAACATGGGAACTAGAAGAGCGGAACAAGGAAACGATAAAATCATCTCAAATGACGTTCTTGAGGTAGGCGACAGGAGCTTTACTGACGGACAGAATCAGGAAAGAGGATATATAAGAATTTTGGAAACAGAAAATAGGAATATGGGAGAATAAATTGCTAAAAAAACGTGAAGCAGCATCTAGAGGGGCTGGGTTCTGAATGAATTTGATTACAGTCTTGCCGGAAGTCGTGGCCTATGACGTAAGAAAAGATAGTAGGAACAGTTCAGTTAGCTTCTGAACGGAACTTTGGCTCACACCTTGCAACGGTAGAAGAAGGCAAAGAGACAGCTCTGACTCATAGTAAGATAAAATTCCTCAATTCGATTGAAGAACACGAGGAAAACAACGACAGAACCGCGAGATCTGTCCGAGATTCGAATAGGAAACCTAAAAAATACAAGCCAGAGGAACTAATATGCTCTGTACTACTTTCAGGACAGTTAAATTTGAGATATATTTACTTCAATAGTCTCGCTTTCTATACATTTAGCCCAGCATTTTAAGTTAATATAGGTCTAAATTTAGATGCATTTGAAAAATAGCACTTTCTTTATGTCTACCATTATTCTTCGTTAATTTTGTTTAAAATTTGCAGTTGAACTTACTCGTATTTTTGCCTCTTCACTGGTACACCATATTTACTTTTTGAAATGAATAGACTGATTTTTAACCCGAAAGAAATAGACCGAAATAAAAATGTTGAATATTACCATGATTCACTGGTCTTACTATGCAAGGAGAAAGAAAAGCCAATGCAGTCACAGGGCTACCAACAACACGCCAATGTACCGAATACACTGCACTAACGGCCTTGGCCTAGTGACACTGGCCCATCGATTTCTGACTATCTCCGTCCCTTTCTCGCACGTATTTGAGCCTTTTCACGGGTTTCATATAGACATAATGCCTTTTTATATGACAGTAATTCAGGCCTGTCTAGCGATTCCTCTAGATGCAGACTTTTCGATAATTTTGGGGCGATTATAATCGAAGGGTGTTATAGAACTAATCACGAGAGGCCACTTTGCATATATGGCCTCTTTACCTAACTAATATCTCTAATTAATTTCCTCTACACGAGTGATATTTCCTGTCATAAAATATTGTCACGTATATGAATGACCGTAGACGGGGATTGGATTGATAATTGGATTTATTGAACACTTACAGAAATTAACTAAAATATATATGTAGACATCTGCATGGTCTTTAGTCCGCAAGCGAACTATACCGACTGAGCGACCGCCGCTTGTCGGCGAAGTTAGTGCCAACTTACGCGGATAGAGGGTGTCGCGTGGTCAGTGCAACAGATCCCCACGGCAGTTAATCTCGGTTTTCTAGCCCGGAACCGCTACTTTTCCGTTTAACTAGCTACTCAATTATCTTCACGAGTCTGAGTGGACCCCGTAACAGACCCACTACTTCTCAGAAAATCTGGTAGTGCCGGGAAGCCAACCCGAGACCTCTGGATCTGTAGCCAGGAACTCTGACCACTAGACCACAGAGGCGGTCACTCCATAATACCGACCTACTGACTTAAATAAGAAGTTGTAAGGCGTCTGTCTGTTCCCAGAGAGTAACACTATTTTGTAGCATGAGGGACCGCTCTTTCGGTGTTCACGTGGCCCTCGGAGCTTTGTTCAGTGTTGTATGTCTGATAAGTGTAAAGCTTACATACCTAAGCATATAAATGTACATTTTNTCGCCTCCATCTTCAGGGTAGAAGGAAAAATATAAGAAATCCGCAAGCGAAGAGACCGTGAGAACCGGTAAAAGCCTGCTTTTACCCTGAAGATGGAGGCGATACGTTCCTCCGAAACGTCGGTTAACACCACATATATACGGTGCCAAATCCCAGAAGACTGCTTTCTTCAATGTGATGATTGTGAGAAATACGTCTTTAAAATTTGATTTATGAAGCTGGTAACTAATAAATTGTTATTAACTGAACCTGCGAAGTTTCGTATTCGATGAACATAAATAGGCAGCATGTGTTACGTAACTATTTTTTGTACCGGAAATACTAATACGGCCAGTACACAACATGTTGTTTTCATGTTTAACTATTTCATAATTCAGGGACAATCTTATGTGATGTAGGAAATTAATCGTAAAATTTCAGGCCTGTGTGTTTTCCATTTATAAGTTCAACTGTAATGTTCGGATGGTAAGATTTGAAGAAGTGTGCATAATCATATCTACAGAATAAACTGTCTTTGTTTATTATTTATCTCTCGTATTTATGGTAATTATTCATTTTGAAGCACAGATCAACGAAATTTTAGTCTTCAGTCCGTTCTGAAAAACTCTGACACGAGGTGGTCAGTACTTCTTACCGTTCAGCGGCCATTTCTGAACAAATTACCTAGCTCGAACTAACATTAAAATGGACGCCATATAATAGTTGTATTTAAACATGCTTGTTCAAACTCTTTTTATTCTCCTTTGTATTTAATTAGATATATCTGACATTGTTCCATCGAAAATAAGCAGATCTTTCCTCAACAGCTGAAGATTTATTGCCTCCGAGTCTTCGGGTACATTGAAAGAAAATTTGTTTTGCTAGACATGCCAGTTATATGGTTTACAAGCACGCATAAAAGTCGTTTAGTTAATTTGGTTTTAGATAAAACATGCTGAAATAAATCAGGTCCTTCATAGTCAGTTATTTGGAACACGTGGCTAAACTACACTTCGACTTTAAACATGCTGACGCAATTAATAAGTTTACGTTCTGAAGCTTCGAAAATCAAACCTGGTCTCCAATCCTGAGTAGATTTTCTCTGGTTTCCCTTCAGGAGATTTATGTCATATACTTTAAGGCAATTAACCTCTGCACTTCTTATTGAACATAATCATAACATTCTTTCCTCCGCTTTACACATTTCAAAAATCGATACTGCCTCAATAAGGAGCTTAAGAGTCTATGAATGTTCTAATTCAAACCGAATATTATATATATTAATATCTATGCAGCGGATTCTCTCCAGTTTATGTCCAGTTATGTCCTTTGTCAATATCCTAAGCAACCCTCAACTCCACATCTTGTCGGATTTCTTTGTATATGACCATCACGTACAGTCGTGAAACGTAATTTTTGGCTCGTTCTCAACGAAAAGTTAGAAGTAAAGACAATACCAGACGCTGTGGAGGAAGCACACAAAAACCAGGAACATATGGCAGTCAAAAACTGAGAGTAGACCACGAACGTGAGGGGCAAGCTGCCGAGAAAAACACCTTGATACATTTACGAAAATGACGACACCCCGGGTGAGGTGAAATAATATGCAACAGAAAATTTTTAAGGATTTTATCTCGTTTTACTTAAAAAGAAGCCTACAGCGTGTGAGTTTAACACGAATTAAAACAGTGTAGGAGTTTTTAACACAGTTTTAGTAAAATATCTGTAACATAAAAACACCTGAGCCGGTCACGGTAGCCGAGCGGTCTAAGGCATGCACTGTCTCGCTCGCTCGGAAGCCGGGATCGTGGGTTCGAATCCCACTCAGGGCATGGATGTTTGTGTGCGTTTTTCTGTGTTTGTCTACAGGTAGAGGCCTTGCGACGAGCTGATCACCCGCCCAAGGAGTCCTACCGTATGTGTAAGATCTAGAAAAACCGAAGTGAACGGAGTTCATGGAGGTAGGCCTAGGCCCACTGGGGCTGTGGTACCAAGAAAAAAAAACACCTGAAGATGGCCGTTTGAGGCCGAAACATGTAGCATTGAAGTGTAGACTGTAAAGTGTTGCAGTTTTGACGGAAGACAAAGAATGGACGCCAATAAGAATATTGGCTTCGTCTTACCAGTCTACGAGTATCTGTTCATCTTGTACCAGTACGCGTTTCCATCATGAACAATTAAACATACCCTATTTAAAAGCCCCATATGCAGGACGTTTGTGTAAGACAGTATGAACTCTTTGATGGGATCCTGCGCTGGGAATGGTCAACTAATGTTTTAGGATTTTATTTCCTAAATATTCTACATTAGTATCGTAGTTAGGCTGATTCACTTCATATGTCGAATATTTTGCCTAATATTCACTGTTATGAGACATTTCACAACATATATTGGCTGAGAACAGCAAGTTAGCTAGTTTTTATCATGGAGTGAAAGGCTGTACCGTCATTTCTAAGACATTCTAATCCAGATTTTAAACTTAAATAGCTCTTATACAGCTCGGTTTATTCGACCCGACATTAGTCTGTGAGCATCTGCTCACGCTGGTTCCTCGCTCGCGGATTTTCTTTTTTCTTCTACCCTAAAGATGGAGGCGATACGATCGTCCGAAACGTCGGTTAACACAATATCTACACTGTGCCACATCCCAGAAGACGGCTTTCTTCACAGTCACTGCCGTGAAAACCTCAAATCTTAAATAGAATTATTGCATGAACATACGAATAAAAGTTAAAAAAGGTAAGGTTGTCCCAGTGCTTAATTAGTTAAGCACTATGTCATGGAGACATATGGGGGAGTGGAGGTATAGCTCCACCTTTCTTGACATCGTCACTGGATGGAGGTGAATGATCAGCTTCACACCCCAGCCTCTTTACCCTAGGGGAAAGAGCCTCCAGTACCCGCTGGATAAGAGGCTGGGTGGCCCCCAGAAGCTATCTGGACGCTGTGGAGAAGAGAAAAATCTTGTGATTTTCGATTAAAACGATGATTAGAGAGCTAGGTTATAATTAGAATTTTAGTCTAAATAACGTGTTTTAGGCTCAATTTTATATAAAATAATGTTCACAGTTATTAAATACGTAACTTATGATTGTCATTCTTGAACACACCGTCCTCAGACGGTAAACTGGTAAACTGGGAGTCGTAAAAAAGAGAAGCAATGTTATATATGGTAGTGTGTTATCATTCTTCATGCAGTTTACAAAATAGCGTAAAAATGAAACCTCAAAAGATATTTTCAAATTCAAAAACTAAATGAAGCTCAGAGCTTACAATGTTAGGATTAAAACTGCGCTTCATAAGAGCATGTGGTGCCGTGGAGTTATGTGTTGACAGTGCAAGGGAGGTGGATGGATAGGAAAAGACGATTTATATTGTGAGTCACGTGATTGTGTTGTCACCTGGAATACGCAAACGTATGAAAGAAGAGAAAGGAATAATCCTCCAGTCTTGACTTATGTCTCTTCAGAAGCAGAACGACAATATCAATGGCGATCACACGAAACAAATGACGACAATGTCAGTGATGAGCACACGGAACAGACGACGATCGCACCTGTGGGGGCAACAATGCGAAGATTTCCCCAGACTGCCGTTGCTGCTGTTGGCTGGAGCAGTGCTGATCAATATTTCGCTTGCGCAAACCACGACTGCCACTGCTGCCATCTGGCTGCGGAACAAGAAACTCAGCCAAGGAACATTTTTTTTATTTAATTTGGTTGCTAATTTACAATCTACTCTAGTGACAACAGAGTAATAAATAAATGTTTGAGTGTCGTACTAGCTTGTTGTAATTACCATCCACTGATGGTCTTCACGCGTCTCCTAGTTTAGGTCTTCCGGCTAACGGCGTTGGAGTCTCCTGTTCGCCAGGGGTTCAGCGGCGAGTTCATTTATTAGATAGTTGTCGTGGTCTACGATGCGATCTCTATATTTTGTGGCTTTTTTGTTGATGACTCCCTTTATGAAGGGTATTCCGAGATCTGCATGAAGGGTTTGATTGGATACCAACCATGGGGCGTTTGTTATTGAGCGTAGTATTTTTGACTGGAACGCTTGTAATACTTTCGTATTGGAGGGTTTACTGCATCTCCACAGTTCAATCCCATTTGTCCAGATGGGTTTTAATATGGTTTGTAGATTATAAGTTTATTTGCCATTGACAGTTGGGAGTTTTTGCCTAATAGCCAGTTCATATTTCTTGCCTTTCTTGTTAACTGCAGTTTCTTAGCTTGGATGTGAGCTTTCCATGTTAGTTTTTGGTCTAAGTGGAGTCCGAGGTACTTGACTTCGGATTTTTCTGGAATTGGTGCGTTGTTTATTGTAACTTGTGTACCGGATCATTTCATATACGAAACTACCACTTCCCTTTTTTCAAGATGCCTGTGTGATCTTCTGGTATTTTTGGGAGTGTTTTGTATTTTCAGGAATGCCAGCTGCTCTGAGCATAATGGACGATATGCGTGTGTTACACATGTTCGGTTTGCTCATCTCCAAACTTAGATTCGAACCCTGAATAAGAAACACGAATGAAGAGTTATATTGTCTGGGATATAACGCTGTGTAGTCCGTTGAAAGTAAACGACGTTTCGAAGGGACATGTCATCCGCATCTACAGGGTCGAAGAAGAAACCAGCAAGAAGCAGGTAAAAAGCGTAGCTCGCCTACCTGCTTCATGCTGACTTCTTGCTTATTTAATTCTTTGACCCTGAAGATGGAGGTGACATGTTTCTCCGAAACGTCACCTGACTTTCAACGAACTACAGAGATTTGTATCCCAGAGGATGTATTTAAAATTCACTTTAATATTATCGTACTGTCTACGCCTGGGTTTGTGAAATTGCCTTTCTCGTTCAGAATTTTCCTCTAAAACTTTGCATGCATTTCATGTATCTCCTATGCATGCCGCAGCTCATAGCATTCTCATCGATTTGATCATCCCAACAATATCTGGCGAAAAGCAGAAATTATGGAGTTACTTCTCGATTCAGTTAGCGCTTAGAGCATTTTTTTTAGGTTTTTTTAGTTTCGGGGGTGGAGTGAGACTTGAGTCCGCTTGGTACGTCGGCCACTAAATGGTCTATTGTACCAGCCACGGACGATAGATGATGAATGTGGAGCAGTCTGTGGAATGAGAATTGGCAGTGGAAACCGAAGTACTTGGAGAAAACTTGCCAAGTGTCTCTTGACCCGGGCTCGAACTGGGCCGCTATGGTTGGAAGCCGGTGACTAACTGTCTGAGCTATGGCGCGGCCTATTGCGCTGAGGGTCACGTGCCTCGTGTTCTTCCTTGTCATTCAACCCCCCTCCCCCCCCAACACAGTGTTGCAAGTCGTATCAGTGAAGCTGTCCTTGTGCCTAACTAACTAAACACTACGCCATGAAGGCGTATGGGGAAGTGGATTTATAGATCCATATTTTCTTGACCTCGGCACTAGTTGGAGGTGAGTGGTCAGCTTCATGCCCCGGCCGCTTTACCACCGAGGAAAGATCCCCCGGTACCCATTGTATATGAGGTTGGGTGGACTTCAAAGCCAGTCTGGGCGACATGGAAAAGTGAAAATTCTTTCCCCTACCAGAAATCGAACTTCGACCCCTCAGCCGCCCAGCCCGTAGCCAATCGGTATAGCGACTACGCAATCCCTGCTCCTTGTGAGTGAGATGTGTTTTATATAAATGAAATGTTATATTGTTATATTCATTGAAGCGTTGTACTTTGTTCATAATGAAGAATCAACTACGTACGTAATCTGACGAAGATAAAATTGAAACTCTCGTTACCCTAGGGGGCTCCGGGACACAAAACACGTTTTTTTTCTATTGCTAGTGGGGGGGGACTAAGTCCCTTGTACTGCGGCCACTTCTGGCCTATTGTACCAGCCCCAGATGATAGGTGAGGGTGATTGTGGAGCAATTGGTGGAATGAAGATTGGCAGGGGAAACCGAAGTACTCGGAGAAAACCTGCCCCAGCGCCACTTTGTTCACCACAAATCCCACTTGACCAGACCCGGGATCGAACCCGGGCCGCCGCGGTGGAAAGCCAGCGACTAACCGCTTCAGCTATGGCGCGGCCCCAAAACAGGCGTAGACTAATACTGTTACGCCTGCTAGCAGGAGCTTACAGGGTTTATTGGTTTGTTTCACTGTTGTATTCATGACCCATTTGAATCTACTGCGGATCTGCTTCAGGCTTACTGACTCCACTACCCATACTGCCCCCCCCCTTCTTTGGGTCTTTGTGCGTTCTGTGCGACAGAACGAAAAGTAATTTCTTGTGACGGCGCTGGCTGGTATGGAATGGAAGAGCTGCTGGGGACCATAGAAATTTCACATTCGCTTTACTTTTAGTAACCGTGGTACGCGTGTAATTGTGCACTTGATAAGATTTCTCAGGTGACGTCATCTGTGCTGTTAGTACGAAAGAAAATTATTTTGGAAGTTTAGGGGTAATACAGTTTTATTGTTGATTTGATTTCATCTGCTTAATTATTATTCTGTAGAGGCCGCAGAAGAGTATGAAGTCAGGACTTTATTTACTTAACTTTAAAGTGTCCAGCAGGCATAGCTCCTGATTTGCCAAGACTAGAATGTGATAAAATGAGAGAGGCAGGTGAAGACACATTTCAGAATTGTCTACCGAAACGTCACTACTGAGATTAATGAAAAGACGTCAAATTGCAGGTGTCTCGAGCATGGGTGAGTAATTTAACTTCTTTTGAAGTGCTTACTCTTTGCAGACCGTAATGAAGCCATCAGTTATATAATGTGCTGTACATAAGTAAAAATACTGTGCATTTAAATGTAAGTTTTCTTTTATTTTCATCGGCTTGTTTCACTGTTAATATTTTTCGTCGAGCTTGAATGTTATAATTGTTTGCCGTGACAATTGCATTTGTCGTACAGCAAGGAAGCCCTAATAAATTGAAGAGACCTAATGGGAAGACATATTATTTTGGGTAGGGGAGGCTGCATGTCGGAAACGCGGTTACTTTTCTGTGATTCCTTCACTGCAGCACATTAAATATTTATATGCTGGAATTTCTGATCTAGATTAAACATTGCTTCGTAGTATAAGTTGATTTCGGCACTTTCATATTTACAAACAAGTTTAGGGCTCGAATTTTTAAAATAAATTTAACCGTGGTTGGAAAAAACTGCATAATGAAGAGCTTCATAATTTGTACTCTTCTCCAAGTATAATTAGAACGATCAAGTCAAGGAGGATGAGATGGGTAAGGCACGTAGCACGAATGGGGAGAAGGGGAATGCATGTAGGATATTGGTGGGAAAGCCAGAAGAAAGAGGCCACTAGGACGACCAAGACATAGGTGGGTTGATAATATTGAAATGGATCTTAAGACAGATAGGTTGGGTTGGTGTGGACTGGATTGATCTGGCTCAGGATAGGGACCAGTGGAGGGCTCTTGTGAACACGGTAATGAACCTTCGGGTTCCATAAAATGCTGGGGAATTCTTGAGTAGCTGCAGAACTGGCGGCTCCTCCAGAAGGGCTCAGCTCCATGGGTGAGGAGTGAGTGAGTGAATTTAACCGTGCATTTTGCATTTATAGAAATACATTTAGCAGTAGATGAATGAAATGTCAGTCTTGTTTCAAGGAAGAAGCCCTCCTTCTTTACCTCCTTTGTTGTCTGTGTACTCACTTCAAAGAAATGTTACGTGAAATTGAAGTGTATTAATTTAAACCAAATTTGTAATTAATACTAAATTTAACGGAATAAAAGACGTTATCACTTTTGTCGTAACTGTACTTAATTTCATTCATCAATTACTTCGTGTTGGTGACATGTTTAAAAATATTAACACAGCGAATGCTGTTTCTGTTCGAGGACTTTGAAACATTCTTCTTTACGTTTTTGCCATGACATATTCCGCTCAAAGTTATTCATAAATTATTCAAATTCTTCTTTATATAATTTTATTTCCATAATGCTTTAAATTTGTAGTCTTTCTTTTATTCCATTATTTATTCCACTTTAATGACAAAAATTTTTCACGTGGGCTTGAGTTCACAAGTACATTTTGGAATTTTTCGTCCATTTTTCATAGTTCGTCATATAATGAATCTTGCAGTTATAGAAGTCAATAATAGGTAAGCACAGTATGATTAGAACGTTTTGTGAATAAGGCAGTTCACGTGCTACTCAATATGTGCTGTAGCGCTTTAGCTTTGTCTGATTCAGTTTAACATATTTTAAGAGTGTTTGAAATTATTTCATAGTATCGGTTGCCTTATCTGGAACGTTAACTCTCCATGGTACCTTAACTTTTATTCGCTCTCTGTGGTTAATATACACCCTCTATCCGCTGAAGTTGGCGCTAACTTCGCCGACAAGCGGCGGTCGCTCGGTCGATATAGTTCGCTTGCGGACTAAAACCACGGAGTTAATTTTTTTGTTTTTATATTTTTTCTGTATATGTTGAAAATTTTGAATGGTTGCTAAGGAAATGTAAACAAATACATAAATAAATTATGTTTCAGGAGTTAAACTTTCTCTTGCTTTCATAATATTTCATATTGCCCTGATATGTTTATTCACTATTAATCTNCTAATCTCAATCACTGGGTTACCTCATTCTAAGGAGCCCAACTGAGTAGGTGTCTTCCTTTCTCACCTGAAGACGGAAACAGATCCAGTTTCCGAAACGTCGTGTCTTCTATTACCTAGAGTGTCCTCTATTACCTAGGATTCCGGACGATGAGAAAAGTCCAAAAGCCCAGTAATTCTGTGAACCAAAATAGTTTTGCAGAAATAGCACGTTTGTTCATTATTTGATATTGCTGTACTAGCTCTGATTTTCTGCATTTTGCAGAAATTCCAGCACACGATATCTGATGTAGATAGATTTGCATATTCTATGTAACACGAAGATTTTAATGAAACATAAGGTGAACAGTACGTGTATAAATTAATAATCTGGACAAATGAGTGATTTGCTTTTACAATAACACAGATTTGGGAACTGACTGGTTGTTTGGGAAATCAGAGAGCTTCGACAGAGATCGAGAGAATAATTAATGGAAAATAAGCTGGGATGTCACTCCAAATCTTGGACAGGTGATTGGGTGCACGCCTCTAGCGAATCGTCGTGTATTACACAAGAATTGGTCCATAATTTTCACCCGTATTTTAATAATGCCCCAGTCTATATTAAAATGGCACGAATTGTAACTTCTGTTTTTCTAGATCTTACACATTCGGTCGGACTCCTTGGGCGGGTGATCAGCTCGTCGCAAGGCCTCTACCTGTACACAAACACAGAAAAACGCACACACAAACTAAACATCCATGCCCTGAGTGGGATTCGAACCCACGATCCCGGTTTCCAAGCGAGCGAAGACAGTACATGCCTTAGACCGCTGGGCTACCGTGACTGGCGTCTTACTACATTATTGGTCCCAAATTCTGACATATTTGAAGAGAAAAGGTTAGTTGTTTTCTGTCATCAAGAAAGGGCCATTTTCGAGGGTTTTCACCTTGCAATGCGAGGTGTTCAGGTGTTCATGTTTTCTTTAGTTCACAAAGATGAATTAACATAAGGAAACTGGACTGAAATAAAGTTGAATATTATGAATTAAGACATCGCCAGTAGAAGCATTTGAAAGTAAGTGAATTTAATTCTTCTAAAAGATCCATTAACTACCGAGTGTAAATTTAGGTGCAATTCTTTTTGCAGTAGTTCATTTACATTCTCATGAGAAAGATGCATAGGTCCTGTGCACATAAATTAACCGAGGTATTTTCAGCCTAGAGATATTGTAATGTTCTGGCATTAACTTTACTTCCTGCAACTTCCTCGTGAATTTCTACGGCATAATTACTGCAACTTCAGTATCATGATTCAGGTAGTTAAAAATGTTAAGTTTTTTTTGAGGGGTGGGGGTAGAAGAAGTCTTGAGGAAACTTAAACGTTGAATCGAAGTAGGGCGAAGTTGATCACAGTTCCCAAGTCCTCTCATGGACGATAGATACGTTTTTCTTGGAACTGGATTTTATCCAAAGTTCAAACTACATTGCTGCTGTTAAATCGCTTTATTCTCTAAAAACTTGAATGACTTTCGAGATAGTTGCAAAAGAGGTATTTTGAAGATATTTATGAAACAGTTTAAAGCTATTAGAATACATGCTTGCAGGATCTGCCCTATAGTGACAATACACATCTGCATCCTTCTGACAGCATTTTTCCGGTAACATTGAGTGTATTTCTTGAAAACCTGTTATCGGTGCATGCACGTCCATTGATCCTTCCATAATTTGTCAGTATGCAAGACAGTAATTGCTTAACAGTTCTTACGATATAAATACATATTTAGTATACCCACAAGGAGGATCTTCCTGTGCTTATTGAAGAGATGTATTCAAAAAATGTTAAGAGAATGATTGTTAATTATTTGTAGTCGTTAATTAAGTTATTATCAACTGTGAACTCACAGGCTACCCTAAATTACGTCAGACAGTGGACACCTCGCAGACAATAGCGTTCGTTCCAAATAAAATGAACAGTTGTACAGATATGTGGAAACACCTTTCCTGGACAGGAAACACCTGCGTTGAGCTGAACTTCCTCTCTTGCATTTGTTATCCCTTTGTTAGCCAGTGCTGGGGAACGACTCGTGTACTTCTCTATACCGCGCTTGTTTCACTGACAGCCACGGCTTAATGTTGGTCTTATCGGACACTGATACCAAATTATTCTGTCTCTTCAGACTTACTCAGACCACGGAACAGCTCCAGAAGTTTGTTTCGCTGCCACCTGTTCACAGATATGAAGTTTATTAACACTTCAACAGAATTTAATATTGACAAACAAAACATCATCCATTCAAAATACCATTAATGATGACTACCCAGTCGCAAAGTTTATAAGACTAAGCAGTGAAGAATACGAGGACTTCTTCTCCATAGTTAAGTTTAGTTAAGTTTCAGCTTGTTCAGTTAGCATGAAATGGATACATTGACGTGTGAGTGCTCTCTGCTACTTCTGAATACACATGGCAGTCTCTTCTAACGTTGGAATCGTGCTTTATATATTCAGCCAGAGAACAAAATTGTGTCCCCACTTAAATGTGTTTTGTCATCACTTCACGTCCGTAACTCCGAAATTGTATTTCTCCAAACTTCTACTTGTTCCCTATCCAGGGCGCTGTGCAGTGTCTTGGGGGGGGGGATATCAGCCATATTTCTGATGCCACAAAACCACACTTAGATTCTATGTTGTAGCATCATATTGTGTTTTTCAAAGTACAATATACGAATATAAATTTCAACCACACGCAATTCTAGCAATATTATTATAAAACGATTACACACATTTTACATTACGTTCATGTGCAACTCATATCTGTATATTGTACAGTCTTAAGTTTATTGATTCAGCCATCACAGGTGTGTGTCCATGGGGTAGCTCTCCACGTTCGCATACATATCTCTGATGGTGTCCCTGGACGGTCTTCCCCCCGGAACATTTGGTCCGTTAATATTCGTATATCCCATCATATTGTTTATCACAGGCGCATGTCGAGTGGCCCCAGCTACCCCGTTCGGTATTGCAGCCCTTAAATTGCCAGGTATCGCACCGCCCCCGTTTGCTATCTGCTGTCCACCGGCGTGATGAATAGCTGCTGCTGCCACCTGCCTGCTGATGGTGTTAACGGGGACGCCATTTGGCCTCATAGGATTGCCAGCCTGGCCATCATCTGACTCAAGGTCATGTATCGTGGCATCAGGTTGTCCTCCAGCCCTAGGAATTATGGGGTTGGTTCCATTTGCGATCGGGGGGAGGGCCTGTTGCGGTTTGGAAAGCGACTGTTGAGGAACAATCATCCCTCCAGTGCGTTTCAAGTGTTCGATTTGTTGAAGCACCACGCGGTTGAAATCCTCTTGAACCATTGGTGTGTCCGTGTCGCCATCGACTATGGTGAGGCGATTCTCGTTATCCAGGGTCTTCAGCATGGGCAGTGACAGCTCACGGAACAATTCCAACCGGCGTCGGAAAGCTGCGACGCTGTCGTCCAGTCGCCCTCTTCCTAGTTGCAGCTTGGAGCAGTCCAGTAGGATCACGATTGGCTGTTGCTTGAACTAAAACAAGTCAACATATATACATTTAAATAATAAAGTAAAAGTAAAGCTATCCCTGTAACAGGCCGTAAAGGCCCCTAGGGTTGTGAGACGTTGAGGGTCCCACATTATCTAGACAATCGGCTCACAGATGGCGGTAAGGTTGTCAGCCTTACGCGCCGGCCGCGCTTTACTCCCAAGGAAAATTATTTAATTAATTCCTGGTATTCATTTCTGTTAGAGGCTGAGTCAATCCCAGGGCCATAGTGCGGCTGGAAGGATTAGGTCAATTGGAAAAAATCCAATGACCTCATCGGGTCTTGAACCCGCAACTTTCCGGCTTGTAGTATAGCCCCTCAACCAAGTACTCTACAGTGTGCCCCGTATACATTTAAATATCGAACAAAAGTACGTTTCATTCTCAACGGGGTAAAGAAACTTAAGAAGCAATGAAAATAGAAATATTCTTTGACTGTCTGGAGCCTCTGCGTGGTTAACGCATTTGAGGCCAGGATATTTTTATCTTATATAGGTTTGAGCCTAATGTAAACTATGATGCACTTATCATGAAAATCTTATGGGAAGTTAGCAGCAGGAGCCTATGTTGCTTTTAGTATGACAGGAAAAGAAGGCTTGTGAACATAAGATTCACTCCGTAAGGCTATGCTTGTGGACACTTAAGGTCAAATATTAATAACGCTCCCGTAATCATTGGAGTGTTAATTTGATATTAATGGAGCTAAAAACATTTCTGAAATTATTCATTGCCAGTGTTGTGTAATGAAGTACAAATTATTTTGGAACAAATTATGGGACGTGCCCATTGCGCGCGCACGCACTTACGTGTGTGTATGTAAGATATAATATTTTACTAACATCTACAATTTTAATTACAAAAGGCTGCCTCATTAAGTGTTCATAAAATTGTGTTGAAGACTGCATTTCGGTTTCTATTCAGTTCAGAGTCTCGACAAAATGCATTAAGGTAAAGTAAGGTAAAGTAAGGTAAGTAAGGTAAGTAAGGTATTTAGCAGAACTTCATTAATGCAGGTCTGCATTCACGTTGAATGGGGGTCCTCAAGCGCAAATATTGAAAGATTATTGTCAGGAACACACTGAGAACGCCCAAATGCACCGTAACCCAAGCTGGTAAATGAGTGTTTAAACTTCTTAGTTTATCTTCTGAAGCGCAACACCGTTTAAAATATTTTGTGTTACGCGAGAAATACCGTATTTACGCATGTATAGACCGCGTGCGTGTATAGGCCGTAGCACAATTTTCAGACAGAAATTATAGAAAAAATAATTTTCTTGGAATATTATTTCAGGACTAGAACATCCTGTATTACTAATTATGAATATATTTTTTTTAAATTAAGTGTGATTTCGAATATTTCGAATAGAAGCCGCACCCCAGTTTTCCTCTTGAATTTTTGGCAAAAAAATGTGCGGCCTATACATGCGTAAATACGGTATTACTTAAACATTTTTTTCCTTGGCACTACAGCCCCAGTGAGCCTAGGCCTACCTGCATGAACTTCTCTGTTCACTTCGGTTTTTCTAGATCTTACACATTCGGTAGGACTCCTTGGGCGCGTGATCAGCTCGTCGCAAGGCCTCTACCTGTACACAAACACAGAAAAACGCACACAAACATCCATGCCCTGAGTGGGATTCGAACCCACGATTCCGGCTTCCGAGTGCACGCCTTAGACCGCTCGGCTACCGTGACCGGCATTACTTTTACTTACCAAGACAAATATTACAAATTAATCGTCCAACTTTTAGGCTGCAGCCCTTTCTAAAGAAATTATGCAGATCTGCAGTATCACAGTATTGTTCTTGTGTGCCTTCCCCACGCTCTACTTCTGAACTACTGTATCGATTTCCACGTACTTCTGTTTACAACTTATGCTACTAGAGGCTACAATAACCACGTACTTTTCAATTTCGTATATTCGGTAATGACAAGGCGGCGCGCGCCGAAACTTTCTAGGAGACGAGCCCGACGTTTAATATACGGTTGTGAAATAATGCATCATACGAGTAATGGATCTTTGGAAAGCTTGCAGATATTTTAAAGCAAATTTTCGGTGTTACGTAAAAATTACAACTTAATTGCTGAATGAAATGCATATTTATTTATTTCTCATTCTGACTCACTTAAGATTCAATCCTGTCTATCAACTAACGGATCCATTATGCTGATCCACAGCCCACATTCTCCTTGTCAGGCCACATATATACATGAATTTATTTGGCACTAATAACAAGAACTTGCAATACTGGAAATCTGCGTAAGAGACTTGTAGGCTTTATGAGCCATTCCCTGAACTCACTGTTACGAGTTCGTCTTCTACATTTTGTATTAAGCCATGTGGCCTCTTTCCCATCAGAATTAATCTGGAATTATGGATCTTTGGTAGGACTCCTTGGCCTTGTCGCAAGGCCACAACATACACACAGAACAAAACAAACAGAGAATAAACGCGGACAGACATCCATGTCTTGAGTGGGATTCGGAACCACGTTCGAAATGTCTGAGAGGGCGAACACGTCTATTATGAGTTCTTTGCAAAAAGTGCAAGAAAAGAACGCTGTAACGATATAGACATACGATATATGTCCGTCCGTCCTCCCAGCCGTCTGCCGTAACCAGCAGTGATAATGGTATGAGCCACGGTAAGAGCCTGGATAGCTTACTTGGTATAGTGACGGCCGGGCTTCGATTTCTGGCAGGACCAGGAGATTTTTCTCTACTTTAGAGCGCCCAGATTTGTTCTGGGATGCACCCAGACTCCTCTCTAATGTGTACCGGGGGCTATTTCCCCGGGGATAAAGCGGTCGAAGTGCAAAGCTGACCACTTGCCTCCATCTAGCGCCGAGGTCAAGAATGATGCAGCTAAACCTCCACTCCCCCCTATGTCTTCATGGATTTGTGTTTAATTAATTAAGCACAGGGCCAACTTAAACCTTAATTTCGTCTTTTTTTAAGATCCTGACCTAACTTTGACTCTGCAGTACCGAACGATAGGATGATTGGTGAATAATAATTTGTTCAAATGTTTTCTCGAAGTTTGATGTGGGAATCTTGCTTGAATGCTGGAAGATTCTGCCGATAAATTTAGCGGACAGCTGATAGAGGGGTGGAAATAGAAAGGGTTGAAAAAAAAACAAGTTTGTGGATCTTCAGTAAAAGCCCGATAAGATAGAAGCTTCCATAATAACAACGTCAGTAATAGGCGAGGTCTTCCAATATGTCTCCAGCCTGGTTACCTCAGTACAGTGACTAGGCTGTGGGATGGACGAGCGAGTAATCGGGTTTAGACTACAAGGAGAAGCTAGAAATTTTTCTCTTCTCTACATTATTCATGCCGAAACTGGGGCCCACTGACCCCCCCCTATCCAGTGGGTACTAGGGGCTCTTTCCTCGGGCTTGAAGCAACCGGTACATGCAGTGCGGTAAGTTGCTGTTGGGCGTCGCAAGCACAGCCCTCCTCGGTTTCGGGTCGCGTCGAGACGTGTGTCTTTTTTTTCTAGTTTCTTGGAGTGGGGCGAGACTGAGTCCACTTGGTACGTCGGCCACTAATTGGCCTATTTTTTTTCCTTGGCACTACAGCCCCAGTGGGCCTAGGCCTACGTCCATGAACTTCTCCGTTCACTTCGGTTTTTCTAGATCTTACACATTCGGTAGGACTCCTTGGGCGAGTGATCAGCTCGTCGCAAGGCCTCTACCTGTACACAAACACAGAAAAACGAACACAAACTAAACATCCATGCCCTGAGTGGGATTCGAACCCACGATCCCGGCTTCCGAGCGAACGAAGACAGTGCGTGCCTTAGACCGCTCGGCTACCGTGACCGGCATGGATATTACATACAATCTTGTAATCATATCAGAATGTAATTTCCCAAATTATTTATTAGGTGTCGTGTGAAGTCACTGAAAAATTTCGCGGAATAGGCATGATTATAAGTATTTTTAAATGTTTTGAAAAATTTTGCCATCATTTTTTAAATAGGAGGAAAGCGTTAACACTTATTTTTTGGGGGGAATTTAAGAATATTCCCATGGACCGCAGAAACCAACTGGCGGGCCGCATTCGGTTCGCTTGTCGTTAGTTGGAGAGCTTGGTCCTAGCGTGGAATTTATTATAGAGTATCCTGCATTAGAGATGTTTTCACAGTTTCACCTGTCACTTATTCCACATACCGTTCGGTGACCCTGTACAGTGTACAAGTAAATACTTACCGTGTACAGCTAGGCCCTGTAGGAGTCTTAAATCTGTATGGTTTTTGTTCACAGAGAAATCCCCATTATAGCATCGCGTCTCCTGGTATGAGCTATAAGAAATTCTTTCTGTATCCTTATTGCTTGCATCCTGTTGTGCGTCATGATTTTTCGTAATCTGGCCGTCAGCACAATGAAGAATAAACAAATCTAATTGTTTACATTGGTTTTATTTAATAACTGCTATATGGTTCGCCGCCATCTTTGAGCCGATTGTCTAGATAATGTGGGACCCTCAACGTCTCACAACCCTATGGGCCTTCACGGCCTGTCACAGGGATAGCTTTACTTTTTTTTACTTTTTATTTTTATATGCTTCGACCGCCTCTGTGGTCTAGTGGTCAGAGTTCCTGGCTACAGATCCAGAGATCTAGGGTTCGATGCCGGGCGCTACCAGATTTTCTGAGAAGTAGTGAGTCTGGACACGGGTCCACTCAGCCTCGTGAGGATAATTGAGGAGCTATTTCAAGGAAATAGCGGCTCCGGTCTAGAAAACCGAGATTAACGGTGGTGGGGATCCGTTGCGCTGACCACGCGACACCCCTCAATCCGCAAAAGTTGGCACTAACTTCGCCGACAAGCGGCGGTCGCTCGGTAGGTATAGTTCGCTTGCGGACTACAGGCCACGGAGTTTGTTTTTGTTTTGTTTTTTATATGTTTCGGTCCACATTTAGGATCACCTTCGGACAGTTTCATTAAATACGTCTCACATCAGTGAAGTATCCTAATATGGATCCATATTAGAGATAATCACTATAATTCTAATATAATATAATTATTACTAAAGTTATAAACATTTTTTAAATTTTAAAATTTTAACAATTCTCTCGTCGTTACAATGTAAAAATCTATGTTAACTGTCGCGAATTTTAGGTAGCATTTTGCATGCCCAGCACCTCACGCTAATTCAATTTCGTAGTTCCAGTGAAATATTCTAGACTCTCAGGATCTGTATAATTCCACGGGAAAAGTGTTCTTTTTTGTACATTATGCTTCATCATTGATGCAATTGAATTTCAAAACAAATTACATTCGTATAATGGTTCCAAGTTAATGTGAGTAGCGAACAGTGATAAAAACAGGCCGTTAAAATGCCGCAGTCACCTAATTAGTATTTAAAAATATCCGCTCAAGAAGATAACCACCATTTTTAACGTCGAATATGTGAAGAAGCTTGTCTTCGATATGTGCGTCGTTTGGCAGGAGATACGTCTAAGTACAGCCTTAAATTGGGACATCTCTGAAGGGAATAATGACGATTAAGTGAT